CCCTAAAGAAGGCTGATCGCCGAAGAATTGATACTTTTGAATTCTGGTGCTGGAGGAGACTCTTGAGAGTTCCATGGACTGCAAGAAGATCAAACCGATCCATTCTGAAGGAAATCAGCCCTGAGTGCTCACTGGAAGGACAGATCCTGAAGCTGAGGCTCCAGTACTTTGGCCACCTCATGAGAAGAGAAGACTCCCTGGAAAAGACCCTGATGTTGGGAAAGATGGAGGGCACAAGGAGAAGGGGACGACAGAGGATGAGATGGTGGGACAGTGTTCTCAAAGCTACCAGCATGAGTTTGACAAAACTGTGGGAGGAAGTGGAAGACAGGAGTGCCTGGCGTGCTCTGGTCCAGGGGGTCACGAAGAGTCGGACACGACTAAACGACTAAACAACAACAACAACCCTGCTAAACGATAATAACTCGGCCTTCCAGAGTCAAGCAGGTCTACTCCAGAGATGGCCAATGTAGGAACATAGGAAGCTGCCTCATACAGAGTCAGAAGGTAAAGGGACGCGGGTGGCGCTGTGGTCTAAACCACCGAGCCTCTTGGACTTGCCAGTCAGAAGGTCACCGGTTCGAATCCCCGCATCGGGGTGAGCTCCCGTTGTTCTGTCCCTGCTCCTGCCAACCTAGCAGTTCAAAAGCACACCAGCGCAAGTAGATAAACAGGTACCACTGCGGCGGGAAGGTAAACGGCGTTTCTGTGCGCTCTGGTTTCCGTCACGGTGTCTCGTTGCACCAGAAGCGGTTTAGTTCTGCTGGGCACATGACCTGGAAAGCTGTCTGCGAACAAACGCTGGCTCCCTTGGCCTGAAGCAAGATGAGCACCACACTTCATAGTCGCCTTTGGCTGGACTTAATTGTCCAGAGGTCCTTTACCTTTTCTTTTTTTACAAAAACAGACCACTGGTAAGGTAAAGGTAAAGGGACCCCTGACCATTAGGTCCGGTCGTGGCCAACTCTGGGGTTGTGGCGCTCATCTCGCTTTATTGGCCGAGGGAGCTGGCATACAACTTCCAGGTCATGTGGCCAGCATGACTAAGCCGCTTCTGGCGAACCAGAGCAGCGCACGGAAACGCCGTTTACCTTCCCGCCAGAGTGGTACCTATTTATCTACTTGCACTTTGACGTGCTTTCAAACTGCTAGATGGGCAGGAGCAGGGACCGAGCAACGGGAGCTCACCCCGTCACGGGGATTCGAACCACAACCTTCTGATCGGCAAGTCCTAGGCTCTGTGGTTTAACCCACAGCGCCACTCGCGTCCCTAGACCACTGGTCATCTATCTCAATGGTGTCTGCACTGACTGGCAGTAGTGGCTCTCCACAATTTCAGGCATAGAGGAATTCTAGAAACACTCCCCTCCCCCAAAGGAGGGCATCAGGTTGCCAAAGGATGATCACAACCAGTGGCTCTCAGACTTTTACAAGCCACCATAAATTCATCCACTGTGCCCCCAACCCATAATAAGAAGCATTATTCGGAATAGCGTGACCCACTAAGGCATGGGTAGGCAAACTAAGGCCAGGGGGCTGGATCTGGCCCAATTGCCTTCTAAATCCGGCCCGTGGTCGGTCCGGGAATCAGCGTGTTTTTACATGAGTAGAATGTGTGCTTTTATTTGAAATGCATCTGTGGGTTATTGGTGGGGCATAGGAATCTGTTCATCCCCCCCCCCCAAAAAAAAATATAGTCCGGCCCCCACAGGGTCTGAGGGACAGTGCCCCCTGCTGAAAAAGTTTGGTGACCCCCTGCACTAAGGTAATAACACAAAATAATTCAAAACAGTAACAATGCATTGGGCATTTATTCAAAAGCCAGTTAAAGTTATTTAGGTTTACTCAGCAAATCTGATGAACTTGATTTGGCGACAGCAGTTTTTCAAAGTCTGCTGGTCATCTGCACGTCCCAAGACTCTTAATCTCAGCGTTGTGGATTCAAGAGCCACGTTGGGGATAAGATTTCTACATGTCAGGGGGTTGGACGAGACAACCCTCGTGTACAACTCTATGATCTTCCATCAGAATGACGATTTGCTAAGTGCGGACAGGCAGAAACCCAGCGTTTGTCCACTAGAGGGCAGCAGCTGTCACAAGCATCTTTTCCAATGGGGGTGAAGATAAACAAACAGGAACAGGCTTTTAAATTATATTTTTGTTCGGGCGCCTTGGGCACTTCAATTTTTGGTGCCGGAGGCTGGAATACAGTCACTGCAACGTCTAGTCCTTGGCAGCCTTTTGTCCCTGTATGAATCCGTCTGTTTCCTTTGAAAGCCCTTGCAAAGTTCAAAGGCTGAGGCTCAAAAATTAAACAGTGAAACAGAGAATAATCCATCCAGCCTCTGGCTCTCAGTGTGTCCAAAGAGACGCCCCTGTGGGAATCGCACAATCAGGACCTGAAAACACCAGTGCTCTCCTCTCCGGCAACAGCCGGTAGAGAATCTCAAGCTCAGGGCTGTGGGTTCGAGCCCCAGGTTCGGCAAAATATTCCTGCCTTGAAGGGGGTTGGGATAGATGATCTTAGGGGGTCCCTTCCAACCCTACAATTCTATGATTCCCAGCAAGCAGTAAAGCTTTCAGGAGGGGGTACGTTCCTTCCTCTTCCCCCTCTCTCACATACACCCCAGCAAGCAAACAATGCATACACAGTCCTGTGGGATTGGGGGGCTGTGGTCTAAACCACTGAGCCTCTTGGGCTTGCCGATCAGCAGGTCGGCGGTTCAAATCCCCGTGACGGGGTGAGCTCCCGTTGCTCGGTCCCTGCTCCTGCCAACCTAGCTGTTTGAAAGCACGTCAAAGTAAAAGGTAAAGGTAAAGGGCCCCCTGACCATTAGGTCCAGTTGTGGCCGACTCTGGGGTTACGGCGCTCATTTCGCTTTATTGGCTGAGGGAGCCGGCGTACAGCTTCCGGGTCATGTGGCCAGCATGACTAAGCCGCTTCTGGCGAACCAGAGCAGCACACGGAAACGCTGTTTACCTTCCTGCCAGAGCGGTACCTATTTATCTACTTGCACTTTGACGTGCTTTCAAACTGCTAGGTTGGCAGGAGCAGGGACCGAGCAATGGGAGATCACCCCGTCGCAGGGATTCGAACCGCCAACCTTCTGACAGGCAAGCCCTAGGCTCTGTGGTTTAATCCACAGCACCACCTGCATCCCCTGAACGTCAAAGTAGACCTAATGGTCAGGGGTCTCTTTACCTTTACCTGAATATTCCTTAGCCAAGAAGAAGAAGAAGAAGAATTTATTGTTTATACCCCGCCCATCTGGCTGGGTTTTCCCAGCCACTCTGGGCAGCTCCCAACAGAATTAAAAACTTCCCTGAACAGGGGCACCTTCAGTTGTCTTTTAAAAGTAAAGTAGTTGTTTATTGCCTTGACATCTGCTGGGAGGGCATTCCACAGGGCAGGCGCCACCACCGAGAAGGCCCTCTGGCTGGTTCCCTGCAACCTCACTTCTCGCAGGGAGGGAACCGCCAGAAGGCCCTCGGAGCTGGACCTCAGTGTCCGGGCTGAACGATGAAGGTGGAGATGCTCCTTCAGGTCTACTAAGCTGAGGCCGTTTAGGGCTTGAAAGGTCAGCACCAACACTCTGAATTGTGCTCGGAAACGTACCTTATCTACTGCGGTGTGAAAGGGTGCAGTGTCTGAGCAGCGCATAATGAAGATTGTAGTGCGTGTGTTCATGTGCTGATGTGTATCTGTGTAGCCCCCACCCATTCGGCACATGGCTCAGGCAGCGGCAGTCATGGGCAGCCGGCCAACAAACAGCCAACAGCCAAACGGCATAATCTAGTTGATGGGATTCAGGGCGGATAATGTGGAGGAAGGGCAAAGCAGGAAGCCCGGCTAGGATAGGCATTGCAGGAAGGGCAGGAAAAGCACAACTCTTTCATCGAAACCACGGGGGACTCTGAATCCGGAAGACCCATGGCAGGCAGGAAGAGAAGGCTTAACTTTTTCCATCAGTGCGGTCGCCTCCATTGGAAAGTTCTTTGCCAGCCTGGGCTTTTCCAGCTGTTTTGGATAACGGCTTCCATCGGATCCAGGCAGCACACTGCTGATGGAAGTTATGGTCCAAAATTTCTGGATGGCACCGCTTTGGCGAAGGAACAACAACCCCCGAACTGTTCTTAACATCTGTTGATTTTATCTGTATTTCATCCCCTCTGGTGAAAACAGAGAAGTCCTGTTCCATCCCTTTCGACATTTCTCAGATGAAAACAGGGACATCCTATTCCATCTCAGCCCAGATTTCTCCAGTGAAGGAAAAGCGGGACATTCTGGGATCAATCCAGAAACTGGGATAATAATAATAATTTATTATTTATACCCCGCCCATCTGGCTGGGTTTCCCCAGCCACTCTGGGCAGCTTCCAACAAAACACTAAAATACAATAACCTATTAAACATTAAAAGCTTCCCTAAACAGGGTTGCCTTCAGATGTCTTCTAAAAGTTTGGTAGTTATTTTTCTCTTTGACATCTGATGGGAGGGCGTTCCACAGGGCGGGGGCCAATACCGAGAAGGCCCTCTGCCTGGTTCTGCCTGGTAACTTGGCTTCTCGTAACGAGGGATCCGCCAGAAGGCCCTCGGAGCTGGACCTCAGTGTCCGGGCAGAAGGATGGAGGTGGAGACACTCCTTCAGATATACTGGACCGAGGCCGTTTAGGGCTTTAAAGTTCAGCACCAACACTTTGAATTGTGCTCGGAAACGTACTGAGAGCCAGTGTAGGTCTTTCAGGACCGGTGTCTTATGGTTTCGGCGGCCGCTCCCAGCCACCAGTCTAGCTGCCGCATTCTGGATTAGTTGGGATGGCTTTTGTAATTCTGGGGCTGTGCCTGGAAAATTGGGGCACTTGGAGGGTCTGGTATTTCAATAATTTCATTGGGTCTCTGGATGCTGGACAACACGGTCCTTTGGTCTGATCCAGCAGCATTCTTCTTATGTTCAATTCCAAAATTCTGTTGCATCTTATCTGAAGGAGTCTGGGCCCAATCACCAAGCCATCAAAAGGACAGGATTGCAGGGAAGCTAAAAAGAGGGCAGAAGTCTTTCAGACCCTGTCTTTCCTCCCCTGGCATTGTTCTGGCTATGGAGATCCTTCAAAACATTTCCAGACTTTCCTTCCCACTCATGAGGACTAGAGACTTGTGTTTTCAAACAAGAAGTGGTGGAGATTTGCAAGGAGCCGGGTTTTGTGGGCTTAAGCCCACACAGCTCGGCTTTGCAAGAAGTGAAATGTGCCTTGCCAATGCTCCTAAAGTAAACAAGCAACAACCCAATTTCCAAGGTCCGCCGTTACCTTTTGCCACAGGGCTTCTCTCGATGCCAGGGAGGAGCAAGCCGCCACAAACCAGCAGTTCCCCACCTGGCCCTGGTGCAAGTCGTGAGAGCTGATTCCATCCACGAAGAGGTGGGGGTCGTCGCAGATGTCCTGCACAGAGAGAGGAGAAAGAAAACACGAGATGAAGAAGAGGCACGGCCGCCCAGGGTCAACAATACTGAGCTGGGAGGATCAGCTTCTCCCCCAAATATTTGGAAGACCCTGAAACATCCTGTGCCAGAAACCAGATTCCTGCGCAATAAATAAAAAAGCATCATCTCAGCACAGAGCAGGGAACATCTGCTTAGGAAAATGCCGAGCAGGGAACCCAAGTCGCGTTTGACCTCTCCTCCTCCGCTTTCCGGACAGTTTTGACAAAGAACGTAAGTGAGCAGACACAGAACATCAAGGGACTGAATGAGGCTCATTTGAAACACGTCGTATACATATGACTGTATTTCATCTGATCCATCTACTGTAATTATTAAGTTTGCAAATGATACTACCATAATGGGTCTAATTCCAGGTGGGGATGAATCAGCGTACAGGGGGAGGTTCAAAAAGTATCTACAGTGGTACCTCTGGTTACGTACTTAATTTGTTCCAGAGGTCCGTTCTTAACCTGAAACTGTTCTTAACCTGAAGCACCACTTTAGCTAATGGGGCCTCTTGCTGCCGCCGTGACGCCAGAGCACGATTTCTGTTCTCATCCTGAAGCAAAGTTCTTAACCCGAGGTACTATTTCTGGGTTAGCGGAGTCTGTAACCTGAAGCGTATGTAACCCGAGGTACCACTGTACATGGTGCCTAGAGAATAACTTGCACCTAAATATTACCAAGACAAAGGAGATTGTGTTGGACTTTCGGAGGAAGAGAGGGGAACTAGCCCCGTTGTATATTGGGGGGGGGGGTTGTGTGGAGAGGGTCTCTTCCTTTAAATTCCTGGGAGTTTACCTTAGTGAGGACCTCACTTGGAAAAACAATATACCGTATTTTTTGCTCTATAAGACACACTTTCCCCCTCCTAAAAAGTAAGGGGAAATGTGTGTGTTTCTTATGGAGCGAATGCAGGCGGGAGGCTCAGTGCTCCCTTTAAAGAACTGTGTGGAGCATGTGTGCGGCTCTTGGGGGCTTTTCCCCGAGGAGGGAGAAGGGCTGCCCTTCTCCCTGCTAGGGGAAAAGCCCCCAAGAGCCGCACACACACACCGTGCGCTATTTAAAGGGAGTGCGGCTCTTGGAGGAGCCTTAGCCGCGTGCAGCACGCAACTAAGCAAGAAGCCAGGACAGCCGGCCAGGAGAGGCTATGCGCGGCTAAACAAGAAGCCAGGGCAACGAGTGGGATCGCTGCACTGCGATCCCGCTGGCTGTCCTGGCTTCTGGCTTAGCCACGTGCATGGGGAGCCTTCATCCCGCTGCCCTGTGGCGGCTTTGCACGGCTATCCCTGGCTTTTGCGGGAGGTGGGCTCTGTCCCTTCCCTCACCTCCCAGTAAAGCCCCCAAGAGCCGCGCTCCCTTTAAAGAGCACGCGGCTCTTGCGGGAGGTGGGGGGGAGCCAGTAGGCTTGCTTTCGCTGAAGCCAGTAGGGTAAGAGGGATCGGTGCGCACCAATCCTGCTTGCTCTCCTGGCTTCAGGGATAGCCCCGCAAGGCCTCCTGAGCAAAGATGGAGGAACGCTCCCTCTTAGCTCAGGGTGCTTTGCGTTGCTTTCTTATTTCTTGTTTTCCTCCCCTAAAAACTAGATGCGTTTTATGGTCCTGTGCGTCTAATAGAGCGAAAAATATGGTAACTCAGGTGGTTAGGAAGGCCCAACAGAGTAAATTGTTTTTTATATGCAACAACAGCGGGAAGAATATTGTTGGCCCAGAAATGGAAGCAAGAAGAAATTCTGATGAAAGAAGAATGGCAGACAAAATTAATGGACTACGCAGAATTAGATAAAATGACAGGAAGGTTTCGTAACCTGCAGGACCAGAGATTCACAGGAGACTGGAAGAAATATGTGAACTATTTGAAGAGCAACTGTAATCAACAAATTACGTTAGTAGGACTACAAGAAGTTTTGTAAGGAGAAATATATGAAGCATTGCAAAGTAGAAAAAGAATAGAGATATTAGTTATGAGATTCAAATGTAATAGTGAAAGTAGTAAATGTATATGAAGTGATTAGATTGGAAAATTTTCAGAGGTGACTGATGGAAGTCATAAAATTGTATAAGATGTAAAAGTATGTTTATTACTGTTGAAAATGATATGTTTAAAAACTTATATATATATATAAAGGAATGCCCAACAGAGACTCCATTTTCTCATGTTCTTGCCTGTTAGTTTTTAGCTGAATTGGTGAGCCACCAACAATTTAAATTTAAAATTTGCGCCTCCGCGAAACCTCAGCGCAGGTGATGGATACTTAAGGGAGATTAATTCAATCCCTTCCTCATTTGCTTAGCCTTCGATTCTTTGCTCCATGTCACAGGGATGCAACGAAACAAGCCAATAATATGTTGCAAATTAATTAGCAGCCCGCCAGCTGACATCAGCCAAATTTTAGGCAATTTATCCACCGATCAAAGCTTGCAGCCCTAATAACCGACATTCCTCTTTACAAGACCCTCAGCTTTCCCCTTTGCAACAAGGATTGTCTTACAGGTGGCAAACTAAGGCTGGGAGTTGTGATAGGAATATTATGGTCTTAGATATATGGTAATGTTCATAAGTGTACCAACCAAGCACATACATAGATCAGGACAGGAAGGCAAACCTGGAACCATTGTGATTCCTAAACTGAGCAAATGTTTTCTCTGCAAGGTCAAAGTGGGAAACCTCCCCATTGTCTCTTTCCTCACAAATCCTGTCTTAAGGACACATTTAAGATATGAATAGGGTGTGAGCCTGTGACCTGGCCCAGGAGCTAAGTATTTATCACTACAAAAGAATGGCCAGGCTCCCCAGGCAATCCAATCAAGTAACCTGCCAGACAGGAGAAAAACAATATTCAAATTTCTGTTTTAGACCGCCTTTTCTGTGATGTAGGTGTGATGTATCTGAGGGGTGGTCTTAGGTTACACCCCTTCTATGATGTATGTATGTTTCTTGGGGTGGTCTTGATCTACAGGGTGGGAATTTCAAAAGTCTTTATAAGGACTTGCATGCCATTTTTCTGGGTCCCTCCTCTCTCCTGCGGGTGAGGGGAGCACCCTGTTGCAACAGATCAATAAAGATCAAGAATACTAGCTGCTTTGCTTCTCAATATTCTCTGGTTGGCCTCTGTTATTCTCTCCTACCAATAGGGAACCTATGTAAGGACTCTATATGGGCTCTTGGATACCCCATAAGGTAAAAGGGCAATTTTTGTTTACAACAGAGTGGACCTCCCATCCAAGGCCATACAAATAAACACTGGGATGAATTAATTTCCAATCTAGGCCATAGCGGCTCTGAATGACAGAGAAGTCACTTTCCAACAGCAGACGCTGCTATCCAAACCATGCACCACGAATGATGAAGAAGCAAATTTGCCCTCTCCAGGATATTCCCTTCAAGCATAAAAACAACAACAGAAAAACCAGCCCCTACCCAAGTCCAATTCAATCAGGCTCTTGCTGGCTTGTGTCAAAGTCTCAGGTCGCAGAACAAGACAAACAGACGAACACACAGATTGCATATTAAGTTTGGGATGCTCAGAAAGAGAGGTCTGTTTTCCATTAAGCAGGCATTACGAGACACAAGGCTCTTCCAAGCACCACAGCCAAGATGGATCGCCTCCTCGGATCCACACAAGGCTAATTGAAAGAGAAATGTTACGATCTGGCAGCAGGTGGGTTGTGAAGCTTTACTGCACTGATAGTCAGTCCCCACCGGTGCAAGAAGGGAGCATTTAGGCTGCCTGAATTTCCTTAAGGATGTAAACCGAGCCGGCTGGATCAGGCCCATGGCCCATCTGGTCCAGCATCCTGTTCCAAAGGGATTGCCTGTGTTGCAGGAATTTATGTATGGGTTGGGGGGGGGTTGCCCCTCCAGCAGATATCGTGCACATGCAGCCCACTACCAAAACCAGCGCAATCACTTTTGTGACTTTTGTGATTTGTCCCCACAAAACACTTCATCACAGTTTCTTCCTATCTATTCAAAGGGACTTTGCTGCACGATAACAAATCTAAGACTTCACTGAAAAATGTATCTCTGTACTGGCTCACTGGAAAACTTCAGAAATTCATATAGACATGTGAGCTCAGCTACTCAGCAGCCCCTCTGCCTGAGTGATAATCCCTGGCATCCTGATACCTGAGTGCCAGACAGGTAGCCATTCCAGAAATAACAAACCCAGATGAAGACAAAAGGGTGTGATTAACTTGGCTGGGAAACAGGGAAATGTAAATATCTTTTTTATTACACTTGATGGGTGTTTGGTGGAGGGCAAGGGGAACCATGGGGCAGGGTCCAGGATGCTCAGATTATTGCCACCAACCTCCCCTTCTCATGATGTAACTGTGATGTATGAGTGATGTAGTTTGGGGGGGTGTAACATGGGGATTACCAGCTAATAAAAGTTTGGGGGCTCTTTTGTTCAGGGCTTCCATCTTGTTCCACCTTGTGGCAGGTGGGAGTCCTGTCGCGACAGTCTTCAATAAAGACCAAGCCTACTGGCTGCTGTTTTGCTCTGGTATTCCTGGCTGGTGTCCTTGTTTTTGGTCCAAGGGAGCCCTCAGATTTCTCCGTTAACACCTGTGGGAAACCAGCAAGCAGGATTCATAGAATTGTAGCATTGGAAGGGACCCCGAGGGTCAACCCCCGGCAGGAATCTCAACAAAAGCATCCATGACAGATGGCCATCCATCTGCTTAAAAACCTCCAAGGAAGGAGAGTCCATAACCTCCTGAGGGAGACCGTTCCACCGTCGGACAGCTCTTAGCATCAGAAAAATCTTCCTGATGTTGAGTCAGAATCGCCTTTCTTGTAACTCGAGGCTACGGGTTCGAGTCCTACCCTCCAGAGCTGGAGAAAACAAGCTTGCTCCATCCTCCATGTGACATCCCTTCAGATATTGAAAGATGGCCATCTCCTCTCAGTCTATGATTACCAGATTCTTTTTCAATAAATCCGGGGACATTTTTTTATTTTTTATTTTTTGAAGCTGAGTAGCAACAGGGAGTCAGTAGTGGGGATGGTGAGGCAAAAGACCCTGGGCCCAAGCACACATGCATATTGTATAAAGGCACAAAGCCCTTCTTTCAAACCCTGTGAAACATAAATGCACAGAGATTTTTAAAAACTGGGCAACGGCACACCACCCACCTGTGACTCCCCCAATAAGTCAAAACAAAGGGGGAAGGGGGCAGGAGATCTGTACCGCTGGATGTCCCCGGTTCCCCTTTGGCAGTGGCAGTGGCAGTGGCAGTCAGCAGCCCGGAGCCAGCCTGGTAGTGCAGTTGGCTCTGGCTGGCTTCAGGAGCTGCTATTGCGCAGACACATCATATGGGGACTTCCGGAGAGGAAAAATGCCGGGCGCAACAGCAGCGAGCAGCTCCTGAAGCCAGCCAGAGCCAGGGACAGATTTGCAAATCCGGGGGCTGTCCCTGGAAACCGGGGACGTCTGGTAACCCTATCTCAGTCTCCTCTTTTCCAGGCTAAACATACCCAGCTCCTTCAACCGTTCCTCATCAGGCTTGGTTTCCAGACCTTTAACCATCCATGGTCGCCCTCCTCTGCCCACCTTCCAGCTTCTCAACATCCTTCTTAAATTGTGGCACCCAGAACCGGACACAGTATTCCAGGTGTGGTCTGACCAAGGCAGAATAGAGTGAGACTATTACTTCCCTTGATCTGGACACCAGACTTCTGTTGATGCAGCCTAGAAGAGCATGAGCTTTTTTTTGCTGCTGCACAAGAGTTTTCTCCATCCTTTGTAGTTTTCAGCAACTGGTACCCAGAAGCAATTTTGCCTCTAACTGAGGAGGCAGCAGAGCATAGCCTCTGTACGGTGGTACCTCGGGTTAAGTACTTAATTCGTTCCGGAGGTCTGTTCTTAACCTGAAACTGTTCTCAACCTGAAGCACCACTTTAGCTAATGGGGTCTCCTACTGCCGCTGCGCCGCCGAAGCACAATTTCTGTTCTCATCCTGAAGCAAAGTTCTTAACCTGAGGTACTATTTCTGGGTTAGCAGAGTCTGTAACCTGAAGCGTCTGTAACCTGAAGCATATGTAACCCAAGGTACCACTGTACATGGAGGTTTTATTGAACTACCCTGGCCCAACACCACCCAGTGAGCTTCACAACTGGGTAGAGGATTATTGATTTATTCTTGCATTTCTCTCTCACCTTTTCCTCCACATTACTCAAGGTGGTATACATGGTTCTCCCACTCCCCAATTAACCCCCCCCCCCCCGCCCAACCTTAGGCATAGGTTAGAAGCCGAGAGGCAGTGGCTGGCCCAAGCTCAACCAGTGAACTTCACGGCCTGCAGGGTGGATAAAAATCAATGAAATTCATTTGGCAAAGAAAGAATCTGCGGGATTTTCATCCCACAGGGAGACCCAAACCTTTGGCTGCTGGTCTACAAATTAACACAAACTGTGGCACCCTTTCCTTTTGCATGGGAAAACATCCGCCAAAGTAATTTCGCGTGGAAAGGATGCTGAAGGGTGATGTATGTGCGTCTCCTGCGACCGCATCTGTTTTGAACATAATGGAAAGCCAAGCAGAGGAACTGCAAGGAGGAAAATAAGGAGGAAATATTAAAACCAGGAGACAGTTCCTCCTACGCAGCCTCAAGGGATGTGCACTGGGGAGCCTAGCAATCGCTTGGATCGACAGCTTCGAAGTCTGCCATGGGGTCCTTGCAAGGACCGGCTGGTCTTCATTTGAAAGCATTTCTGCTGCTTTCCTTTTTAAAAAATTAAATAAATAATGCTTTATTTTAATGTATTTTTAATCTTTGTTGGAAGCCGCCCAGAGTAGCTGGGGAAGCCAGCCAGATGGGTGGGGTACAAATAATAAATTATTATTAGTAGTAGTAGTAGTATTTGGTTGAAAACTTTATAACAGAAATATGTTATTCATTCTTTAACTAATACCTGCTTTGTACAGTGGTACCTCGGGTTACATACGCTTCAGGTTACAGATGCTTCAGGTCACAGACTCCGTTAACCCAGAAATAGTACCTCAGGTTAAGAACTTTGCTTCAGGATAAAAACAGAAATCGTGCTCCGGCGGCGCGGCAGCAGCAGGAGGTCCCATTAGCTAAAGTGGTGCTTCAGGTTAAGAACAGTTTCAGGTTAAGAGCGGACCTCAGGAACGAAATAAGTACTTAACCCGAGGTACCACTGTACATCCATTTGTGATTACCGTATTTTTCGCCCTATAGGACGCACTTTTTCCCCTCCAAAAATGAAGGGGAAATGTGGGTGCGTCCTATGGGGCGAATACAGGCTTTCGCTGAAGCCTGGAGAGCAAGAGGGGTCGGTGCACACCGACCCCTCTCGCTCTCCAGGCTTCAGGAAGGTCTGCGCAACCTTCCGGAGCCCGGAAGCTTCACGCCGGGCTCCGGAGGGTTGCACAGAGCTGCCTGCATTCCGAAGCCTCGGGCACGCTGAAGAGCACGCCCGGGCTTCGCACAGCTGTCTGCAAGCCTGGGGAGACCGGCGCGGCTCCCTAGGCTTGCGGATAGCAGGCTGTTCTGGGGGCTGGGGTCGGGGGAAGCTCGGGCTTCCCCCGTGCCAGCCCCGTGCCGGGGGGGGAAAATAATTTTTTCCCTTTATTTCCCCCCCAAAAAACTAGGTGCGTCCTATAGGGCGGTGCGTCCTATGGGGCGAAAAATACGGTAAATTTGACAAGACCTCCGATCTTCCCCTTGCATTCCCGAATTAAGTTCCTTAAATAAGTGCTTAAACTTTACTTTCTCTGTGTTATTTGACTGGCTATAAATTTCATTTTATAAAAACATCCTACTTACACACAGAAGCTCAATCAAGACCTGCCAACGTATTGATCTTTTGACAGCATTCTTTTACATGCACTCGGTATATATCCCACTCTCTGATAAATTTTTCATCGGCAACGTCTCTTAGCCCCGCTGACAATCTCCCCAGCGCAGCGTACTCTCTGATTTTGTTTTGCCATTCTGATTTAGATGGAATATCCTCTCCCTTCCAGCCTTTTGCGATTAGAATTCTGGCAGCAACTGTAACATACATAAAGAGTCTCCTGAAGTTTTGGGGGGATTTCATTACCCATAATTCCTAGCAGGAAAGCTTCAGGGGGTTTTTTAGGGAAGGAGCATTTGAACATTTTCTTAAGCTCGTTATAAATCATTCCCCAATGCATTTCAGCGGCTTTCCGGCACCTGTTCCAAGACTTTGAGACGGGGCAGGGTGCAAACCAACATTTGCAAAGTGTCCTCATTGCCGCAAACCTGCCTGCAAACATGAATTTGTTGTTGTTTAGTCGTTTAGTCGTGTGCAACTCTTCGTGACCCCCTGGACCAGAGCACGCCAGGCACTCCTGTCTTCCGCTGCCTCCCGCATTTTGGTCAAACTCATGCTGGTAGCTTCGAGAACACTGTCCAACCATCTCGTCCTCTGTCGTCCCCTTCTCCTTGTGCCCTCCATCTTTCCCAACATCAGGGTCTTTTCCAGGGAGTCTTCTCTTCTCATGAGGTGGCCAGAGTATTGGAGCCTCAGCTTCAGGATCTGTCCTTCCAGTGAGAACGCAGGGCTGATTTCCTTCAGAATGGAGAGGTTTGATCTTCTTGCAGTCCATGAGACTCTCAAGAGTCTCCTCCAGCACCATAATTCAAAAGCATCAATTCTTCGGTGATCAGCCTTCTTTATGGTCCAGCTCTCACTTCCATACATACTACCCCTGGATCACTGCCTTGCCGTGTTGAAGGGGCTTGAATAACTCAGAGAAGCTATGAGCTACGCTGTGCAGGGTCACCCAAGATGAACAGGTCATAGTGGAGAGTTTTGACCAAACATGATCCACCTGGAGGAGGAACCGGCAAGCCACTCCAGTATCCCTGCCAAGAAAACTCCATGGACAAAGGCAACAGGCAAACGTGAATATACCTGTCTTATTTTTAAAGTAGGCTTCCTGGACCTGCTGTTAACTCTGCTCCGCTAGCCGGGTTGCACACCTCGGCAGGTGTGAAATGCAGGAATTCATTTCGCTCCGGGCCTCTGATCCTCTTCTTTGCTCTCATCCATGCATGAAACCACTCAAATTAACACCCTTCGCTTGGCTGAGCCGTGCGGCTTTGCTGATAACGCTGCCCCGCTTTCGTGGCTGTGCGCCTCACCTTGGCTTCTCACCAAGGCATGCACAGCTGGAAGGCAAAAGGATGTTCGGCACACACTCGATTAGCAGCAATGCGCCCTCCTCCCCACATCAAGGCCCCCGAATGACCTTCACTCTCAGGACGCTGAGCTCGCCTTGCCAGCAAACGCAGCTGCAGCCGTTTAGTGTGAGCTGTCGATCAGGCCCAGATTTACATCACAGAATCGTCGAATCGTCGAGTTGGAAGGGAGCCAAGGGGTCATCTAGCCAAACCTCCGGCAATGCAGGAATCACAGGCTCAGTCCACTGAGTTTTTCCCTTTGATAAACAGCCTGGGGTTCCCCAAAACAACTCATGCCAGACAAATCTCATTTTTGTAATGATGGCGTTTCAAGCTTGGTGGATCAGGGGGAGGCTGTGGACGTACCGTATCTTCATTTCAGTAAGGCTTTTGACAAAGTCCCCCGTGATATTCTTGTGAACAAGCAGGCAAAATGTGGGTGATTTGTAGCTGTAGCTGGTTGACCGACCGAACCCAAAGAGCACTCATTCAGGGAAGTTTTTAATGTGTGACATTTTAGTGTATTTTTGGTCTCTGTGGAAGCTGCCCAGAGTGGCTGGGGAAACCCAGCCAGATGGGCGGGGTACAAATAATAAATTATTATTATTATTATTATTATCATTGATGGTTCTTCGTCATCCTGTCTTATGGGCAGTGCTGCGTACCGTACTTTTCCGTGTACAGTCATACCTCGGGTTACAGACGCTTGAGGTTGCGTTTTTTTGGGTTACGGACCCGCTGAAACCCGGAAGTACCGGAACGGGTTACTTCTGGGTTTCAGGGGTCGTGCATGCGCAGAAGTGCTAAATTGCGCTTTGTGCATGCGCAGAAGCACCAAATCAAAACCCACGATTGCACAGACGTGCCGCTGCGGGTTGCGATTGCTGTGGGTTGCGAACGTGCATCCCGCACGGATCACATTCGCAACCTGAGCGTCCACTGTATAAGACTAGGTTTTCCCCCTTTAAAATCATGCTAAAATGTGGGGGTCGTCTTATACATGCATAGGGTGGACGTTTGATTGGTTGCTGCCGCGGCTGCCAGCAGCCATTGTGCGTGTTATTGGTTGCTGCGTCAATGGGTGGTGTTGATTGGCCAAGGCTGCGGCAATTGGGCGGGCGATTGGCGAGGGGACAGACGAGAGGCGGAATTCACAATACATGCAGGTGAACGATTTTTGGCATTCCCACCTAATAAAAGCTCAACAACCCTTCGTAACCCCCCTCCCCCCCAAAAAGCTCAACAACTTTTTACCATTTCCCCCCATTTTCTGAAATTTCAGTCCCCCCAAATAGGGGGCATTTTATACATGGGGGCATCTTATAGACGGAAAAGTACGGTATATCTTGCTCTAAAACAACCCCCGAAAAGAATTTGGCACACAAGCTCCCTAAGCTCTCGAGCCAGGAAAAGCTGAATTAGGTCAGCCTCTTTAATAAAATCATGCAAACTGAACAAGTTTGCAGAACTAATGCTATAACTTTTTTTTCGGGTGCCATGGTTTTCCGCCTCTTGCTTTTGGTGCGTGGAGGGGAGGACACTGGAAATCTGCAAATAGATTTCCCGTTCTCTGTAAAACTTCTTTTCGAAGGAGCTGAGGGACCAGATGGGGATGGAATCAAGGGCCTGTTCGGATGTAGCACCAGCCTTGTGGAATATCCTCTCCAAAGAGAGATTCTGTAAGCTCCACCTACTGGATATCTCAAGCATCTCATAAAAACCTCGGCTGTTTACCCAGGCCTTTGAGGGGATTATTCTGTCCAGTCGCTGCTTTGCGGCTTTAAAACGGCACTTTTTAAAACAGCATGTTCAGTGGCTTCTTCTGTTTCTTATGTTGGATTTTATTGTGTTGCGTTTTGAATTCTATGCACCACAGAGTTTGGGAATCGCTGCTGCAGTGTGTGTGCGATAATGCAGTTTAGTTACAGGATAAAATCGAAACCGTTCTTTACGGGCAGTCTCTACAGTACATAGCCGTGGAATGAACCAGTTATCTCCCTGGAACATCAAGCACATGGTCTGTCCTGCGTCTAAGGCCGTGTGAAATAAGCAGCTCTGTCCCTGAAGGAAAAACTCTCACAAAATTATGCAGGTTTTGCCACCACCACACTATGACTCCTGTCTCCACCCACTCTCTCTCTCTTACATACAAATAAAAAAATTATTTTTATTATTTTTTATTATTTACTACAGTTATTTTATTTTTATTTTTATTTTTATTTTTATTTTTATTTTTATTTTTATTTTTATTTTTATTTTTATTTTTACCTGCCTTTTTCCCTAACAGGGAAAGATAAAAACAAAAACAGGTAAAAACAGGTAAAAAACCCCCACAATAATTGAAAAGCAATTAAATTAAAACACACACACACCTATACACACACACCATACAAATAATCACAATGAAAACAGTGCAGCGCCCATCACCAGCCCTGTCATTAAAAGCAGTCCATTCGCAACTGTCTCAGAAAAAAACAGGGCACCCCATTTTCCCACACGTGATCACGGAGGCCATTTTGGGTGTTGCGATCCCCCCCCCCCCGAAGAAAAGCACTTTTTCCAGAGCGAGATTGTGGAGCGGATCACGTGACTCGCCTGGAAGTGCGTCCCGGAAAACGCGTGTCCCAGTTTTTGGTGTGGAAATGTTGGAGGACGTGTGCAAGACGGTCTTCCCCTGTTAGCAGAAGGACAACAAGGACAGGACCAGTCTGGCTTCTCCAGGGAGGGTGTTCTGAAGTTACCTGGGAGGAGCCAACACCGAGAAGGCCCTGCCTTGCATCCCTAACCAGCATGCCTTTGAGGGTGGTGGGACTGAGAGAAGGGCCTCCCCATGAGATCTCAAAACCTGGGCCGGTTCGTATGAGTGAATACGGTCTCTCCCCTCCCTATACAACTACACTTGCCTTGATAAGCAAGAAGCGTGGCCAAAACTGTTAACCTTTTTAAAGTTAATCTTCCTGGGACAGTTGTGCAACGCGAGGTCTCCCAGCGAAAAGGACGTGAGCTGCTTTCAGCAGTTCCCAGAAACTGCCCCTCCTTCCCATATTGGTGGAAAAATTGCAAGATGACAAATGCGTTTGGCCTTTCCCTGCAGGGCGAAAGCAGACTTTGGTCCTTCGGTTTGTACCAGCCGAGGTTCCGAGAAATGTGCAGGCTCCACGTTCTCAGATATGTTGAAAATCCTGTTAGACCTGCAGCTGAAGGAGTGGGCAGAATTAACTGACCCTTGTGGGAGCTACGTGCCCAACAGGTCATCCTTATCCATTTCTGGACATCGTCGGGTTTCGTTTGTTTTGGCAACTTTCTCCTTCGTTATTTCAACACCAGTATGGGCAACACTGAGCCGCTTAATGCACGGTCAGAGGATTTGTCAACCTAGACCAGTCTAGTCCTTCAAAGGGGGGGAATGAGGTCTACCTCACCTTTGGCCAGCTCATTTTTCCCTGCCCTAGAGGGCAGGACTCGAACCCATGGCTTCAAGTTACAAGAAAGGAGATTCTGCCTAAACATCAGGAAGAACTTTCTGACAGTAAGAGCTGTTTGACTGTGGAACAGACGCCCACAAGAAGTTGTGGACCTTCCTTCCTTGGAGGTTTTTGAGCAGAGGCCTTCTGCCATGGATGCATTGCAGGGGGTTGGACTAGATGACCCTCGGGGTCCCTTCCAACGCTACAGTCCTATGAATTAAGCTCTTGATTGTTCCTTCATAGTCACTATGGTGTTTGCCCCAAACCTGATGCCCACATCAAATTTCAGGTGTGGTGCAGGTGGGCTTCAGGATTTTGAACCTGGGACCGTCGTGCAGCATGCAAAACATGAGCGCTGCTTGAAGTTGCAGTCCGCAACCGCTGGAGGTCACTAGGTAAGCTGAGCTAACAGACAACCTCCACATACCCACGCTGCCCCAATCTCTGATCTGCCCCCCACTGCCCCCAAGAGGGGTGCTTTCCAGAGACACCATTTGCCTAGGGAGTTTATAGCTCCCAGTATATCTGAAGGAGCGTCTCCACCCGCATCATTCTAGCCGGACACTGATGTCCAGCTCCGAGGGTCTTCTGGCGGTTCACTCACTGCGAGAAGCAAAGCTACAGGGAACCAGGCAGAGGGCCTTCTCGGTAGTGGTGCCCGTCCTGTGGAATGCCCTCCCACCAGATGTCAAAAAGAACAACAACTACCAGACGTTTAGAATGCATCTGAAGGCAGCCCTGTTTAGGGATGCTTTTAATACTTGATGTATTGCAGTATTTTAATATTTTTTTTGGAAGCCGCCCAGAGTGGCTGGGGAAGCCCAGCCAGAGGGGCAGGGTATGAATAAATTATTATTATTATTAGTAGTAGTAGTAGTAGTAGTAGTAGTATTGCCAGGGCTGCTGCAACCAACAGCTGTTTGGGAGGCAGAGACGTGAGAGGGCATCAAGGAGGGCGGGAAGGAGCGAGGGACAGAGGCCAGAATTTCCTGCGGCACCCCTGACCACCATTCAAGGCACCTCAGGGTTGAAAACCACTGGGCTAGACCGACTCTGCGTTAAAAAGATGCCTGCAAATGTGACACGAAGCCTGGAAACATCAACGCTGCCTTGTGAAAATCAGTTGCGGCAGAACAACTGGACGCCTTCATCTGCCCCAGCTGCAACAAAACATGTCTCTCCTGTGTCGTTTTTGCAGCCACAGCAGGAGCTGCAACTCTCCAACAGTTTGACTTCACCAGCCACCGCACACTCCACTGTCGCCCGAGGCAGACGGACGCCAACCAACTAGTGATGATATAAAGACAATGAAAGCAACCAAAACACACTGTTGTTGTTTAGTCGTTTAGTCGTGTCCGACTCTTCGTGACCCCATGGACCAGAGCACGCCAGGCACTCCTGTCTTCCACTGCCTCCCGCAGTTTGGTCAAACTCATGCTGGTAGCTTCAAGAACACTGTCCAACCATCTCGTCCTCTATTGTCCCCTTCTCCTTGTGCCCTCCATCTTTCCCAACATCAGGGTCTTTTCCAGGGAGTCTTCTCTTCTCATGAGGTGGCCAAAGTCTTGGAGCCTCAGCTTCAGGATCTGTCCTTCCAGTGAGCACTCAGGGCTGATTTCCTTCAGAATGGATAGGTTGGATCTTCTTGCAGTCCATGGGACTCTCAAGAGTCTCCTCCAGCCCCAAAACACACATAGGCCAGAAATAAGGATTTTCTGGTGGGAATGTGGCATGTAGCTCCCACAAGGGCCAGTTGATTCTGCCCACTCCTTCTGCTGCAGGTCAAACGGGATTTCCAACATACCTGAGAACGTGGAGCCTACACAATTCTCAGAACCTCGGCTGACCAAAACAACAACAACAAAAAACAACGCTTGCTTTCGCCCTGCGGGGAAGAGCTAAGGACATTTGTCATTGTGCAAGCTTTTCAAAGCTATGGGAGGTGCGGGGAGGGGGGAGAGATTTCCTAGGAACGACTAAAAGCAGTTCATGTCCTTTCGTTGAGAGACCTCGCGCTGCACAACTGACCCTGGAAGATTAATTAAAGAGGTTAAGAGAGAAAGGCGCTTGCCACTGTTATCAACGCCAGTGTTATCAATGGTGGAGCGGAAAACACGCTACTTTAACGACACGTTCAGAACTATCGCTGGAACCAGCTTTCCTTTATCAAAGTTCTGGTATGAGCTCGAAAAATTCAGCGATCCCGTCGAAGATACTGCACGAAGAGGGCTTCTGCTAATGGTCTTTCTGCCACGAAACCTCGTGATTCTGTTCATCTTTATCCCCCCCTTTTTTTGCATTTTAAGAACGGTCTGTGGTGGCTAATCTACTCCAGAGGCCTGTTCTCACAGCGGCCTCTGTTTCTCATCTTTCTCAATACCAGTCACGGGGGAACCTCAGCAGGAGTGCGCTGCCTTCCCAGTCTCAACACATGCCCAGAGGTGCTCTGCTCCTGCGTGCCAGTTTCTGAAAGCAAAACATCCATAGCCCCAGAAATGCCACAAATTATCCTAGCCCTTACAGTGCAGTGAGTAGCCCAGAGACTCGGAAAACCGGGTTCAAAAATCACCTTGCCATTGGTCACTGTCTCTTGGCGTGATCTACCTCACAGAGTCGTGAGGGAGTTAAAGCGCCACACGTTCCTAAGCTTCTTCAACATGTTGCGAAAAAGACAGGGGACCACGTTGTCCTAAGAAATTTGGCTTCATTTTGCCCTCCTGCCTTCCCAGATATCCTTAATATTTCAGAACTGTCGTCATTTTTAATCTTGCCCCACCTCCAATAATAATCGTCTTTTCTTTGGCCTAAACAGTGGTTCTCAACCTGTGGGTCCCCAGATGTTGTTGGACTACAACTCCCATCATCCCTGAGCTCTGGCCTTGCTAGCTAGGGGTGATGGGAGTTGTAGTTGAACAACATCTGGGGACCCACAGGTTGAAAAAGGCCCTAACACGCAGCGCTTTTTATCTCCTCGTTTATTTTTCTCTTCTTGGCCAGCAGCTCCCCACATCAACACTGGGGAACAGGTTTCTGTACTACAACTCCCATCGGTCAGTTCTGCCAGCTGTGGATGATGGGAGATGTAGTCCAGAATACCAGGAGGCAGTCCTTGGCCTCTCTTTTGCTATGGCTCTCTCTCTGAACCCTTTCCAAGACTCTGGCAACGTCCACAGTGGCACGGGGAGCCCCAAAGGCGGGGGGAAACTCCGAAACGAAAACCATCCTTGAGAGAAGAAAAAGGGTTTCTTCACAGCCATGGGAAACGCTCTGACGCACCAGTCAACAATGAGGCAAAAGTGACTCCATCTGCTCCAGCTTCCACTTCCCTCCATGCTCCCTCTCCCACCCTTGACCAAAGCAGACAATTATTGCCTTGTCCTTCTTGAGATTCAAGTGCTTTGTTCGTCTGGGCGAATTTTGCAGCTGAGGCAACAGGAGGGGGAGGAGGAAGGAAAGAGCGTCTCTCTTGAGAAATGCACGTTTATGCAGTTTGCCGGAAAGCACATCAATTCAGAAATCAAATTAACGCACTAAGCTCATTTAGAGACACCCAATTGGTGCCAAAATGACCCATCCTAGGAAAACGTAATGTGAGCAATTGTTTTGTACTGTTTCGCTATTAGGCCTAAGAGACTGCCTGGAGAAGCAATCTTTTCCCGCTTGGTACCCTGGAGATATTAAGGGACGCGGGTGGCGCTGTGGGTTAAACCACAGAGCCTAGGACTTGCCGATCAGAAGGTCAGCGGTTCAAATCCCCGTGATGGGGTGAGCTCCCGTTGCTCGGTCCCTGCTCCTGCCAACCTAGCAGTTCGAAAGCATGCTAAAAGTGCAAGTAGATAAATAGGTACCGCTCCGGCGGGAAGGTAAACGGCGTTTCCGTGCGCTGCTCTGGTTCGCCAGAAGCGGCTTAGTCATGCTGGCCACATGACCTGGATGCTGTACGCCGACTCCCTCGGCCAATAAAGCGAGATGAGCGCCACAACCCCAGAGTCGGCCACGACTGGACCTAATGGTCAGGGGTCTCTTTACCTTTACCCTGCAGATATTAGGGACTACAATTCCCATCACCCATAGCCAGCATGGGCAATGGTCGGGGATGATGGAAGCTGTATTCCAAAATACCTAGCCAGGTTAAGGGAGGCTGCCCTATGGTCAGGATCCATCATCATATCCATGTGGTGGAGAGGCAAGATGGCTGAAGAACCCTATAGCACACAGCAAAACGCCAGAAGACATTCATATGTGTTGTCAGTAATACGTCCAACCAGCCGTCCATGCTAGGTCAGTGCTGCCACCCCATACTGCAGGTGGCAAGACTGAGGTCAAAAGAACGACGGCTTGTCTAAAGCTACTGTAGGGGTCTGAACTAGGAAGTTTTTAACGTTTGATGTTTTATCATGTTTTTAATATTCTGTTGGGAGCTGCCCAGAGTGGCTGGGGAAACCCAGCCATATGGGTGGGGTATAAATAATATATTTATACAATGGTAGCTCCGGTTGTGGGATCCATTCCGGAGCTCCGGACGGATCCCGAGGAATTTGCAACTGGAGGTGCCTGTTCTGCGCATGCACGTGTGGCGAAACCCGAAAAAATATTTCCGGGTTTGCTGCGTTCGCATCCTGAAGTTTATATAACCAGAGGGTTCCGTAACGTGAGGTACTATATTTATATTATTATTATTATATTATTATTTATATTAAGCAGTATAGAAATGGAATTATGTAATAATAATAAATAATAATAATAATAATAATAAATAAAATTTTAAAAATCCATTGGGGGCTGCCACCCTCTAGACATTGTGGTGACCGCAGCCTAGTTTTAAGGAGCCATTTGGCGATTAGATTATACACTTGAGTTTCTAACACTGACTGCAGAGCCCACTGTACCTTTCTGACAAATTATCTGCCATGTTGGCCTTTATGGCTTTGCACCAGCTTTGAAGGCGGCAGCTTGGAAGTCCCCACCGTCGTCGCCTGATGTTGCTGTGATGCCAGGGGACCAACATGCCAAACCTCTCCCACGAGGAGTAAGGGAGGTAAGGATCAGGCCCACTAAGCAGGAGCGCCCAGAGTATTACCGTATCTCTTGCACACAGACTTTCTTTTTTATATATATGTATAATTTTTATTATTTTCAACATACCAATTATTATACATTCCACAGAACTTCACATCTTATACAGTCTTTTTGGACTTCCATCAGCCCCTCTGATGATCCACCATTTTTATCATTTCTTCTGCATTTCTTAAATTCCTATTGCCTTTAATTATCTTAACTCACAATCCACCTCTTTAACCATTTTTGCAATAATTCAAATAATTTACCTCACAAAACTTCTTGCAAACCTACAAACGTAATCTGGTCATCACAATTACTTTTCAAATAGTCCGTAAATTTACACCAGTCTTCTGTGATTCTCTGGTCTCGCAGGTTTCGAATTCTTCCGGTTAGTTTATCCAATTCTGCATAGTCCATCAATTTCATCCTCCATTCTTCTTTTGTGGGTAATTTTTCCATTTTCTCACATGTCCACCACATGTGGTAGAAATCTCCATCCTTCACTTTACACTCATTCTGTACATTTTTGCTAGCTTGACAGGTGTTAAATACCAGCGGTACATCATTTTCAAAGTAGTACACGCCGTAAATTTTAAGCCTTCATCCCATAATTTCACCCAAGCATCATATTCAATGTTATACCCATTTCCTTTTAAAAGCATCCCCGCAAAGCTTCGCCTTACCTTTGGCCGTTTCCATTGCACACCTTGAATTCGCGACTTGTAGAAGAGGGAGTCGTCGTTGGCCGGGAACAAGGGGTCCTCAAAGAGGATTTTCCTCCTTTGGCAGTCTTTCTTCAAGGCAGCATAGCGCTGGTTCTCATATGGCTTTACGGACGAGAACATTGTTCCCGGCAGCCTCTGCAGGACAGAAGGAAGAGGGGTACCACGTGAGAGACGGGCAGGGCCAGATTTAGGTTTGATGAGGCCCTAAGCTATTGCTATTGAAGGGACGCGGGTGGCGCTGTGGGTTAAACCACAGAGCCTAGGGCTTGCCAATCAGAAGGTTGGCGGTTCGAATCCCCGCGACGGGGTGAGCTCCCGTTGCTCGGTCCCTGCTCCTGCCAACCTAGCAGTTTGAAAGCACGTCAAAGTGCAAGTAGATAAATAGGTACCACTCCAGTGGAAAGGTAAACGGCGTTTCTCTGCGCTGCTCTGGTTCGCCAGAAGCGGCTTAGTCACGCTGGCCACGTGACCCGGAAGTGTCTCCGGACAGCGCTGGCCCCCGGCCTCTTAAGATGGGCGCACAACCCTAGAGTCGGACACAACTGGCCCGTTAGGGGAAGGAGTACCTTTACCTTTACTATATTAATAGTGAAATTATTATTAAGCTCTAACTTAAAGTGATTGGGGGCCCATGACTTACATCATAGGAACCTACACAACGAAAAACACTGTTGCTGAATGTAGGTTTCATTTTATTTGTATTTTGGAAATGTACACCCAGTTGTTGTTTTTCCCTTTAAATTTTTGGGGGGGCCTCCAAGAGAAGGCGTGCCTTCCTCTTAGCACGTTTCTCCCTTGCGTCCTGAGTTCGAGTGTCTTCAAAGCCCATGACACCTTTGGGAAAGGCTGTTCTCCAACTGGAGCGCTCGCAGGCCAGTGTTTCCCAGTTGTCAGTGTTTATACAGTGATACCTCGGGTTAAGAACTTAATTCGTTCTGGAGGTCCGTTCTTAACCTGAAACTGTTCTTAACCTGAAGCACCACTTTAGCTAATGGGGCCTCCTCCTGCTGCCGCACCACCGGAGCACGATTTCTGTTCTCATCCTGAAGCAAAGTTCTTAACCCAAGGTACTATTTCTGGGTTAGCAGAGTCTGTAACCTGAAGTGTCTGTTACCCGAGGTACCACTGTACAGTCATACCTTGCATTTTCAGGTTACGCTCCGCGGCAACCCAGAAGTAACGGAACGTGTTACTTCCTGGTTTCGCCACTCGCGCATGCACAGACGCTCAAAACGACATCACACGCATGCGCAGACACAGCAAATCCTGACCCACGCAGTCGTGGGTTGCATTCTACTCAGGATGCGAACGGGCCTCCAGAACGGATCCTGTCCGCATCCAGAGGTACCACCGTACTACATTTTTTAAGATTTGCCTTGAAACAGTCTTTAAACCTCTGCCAACAAACTGAGTTCTTGATCCTCAAACTGGGGGCCATGGGTATCCCTCCAAAACCCGACATTGTCCGATTCACTCCAAACCAGTGCCAAACACGTAAATGAATTTTCCCGGAGGCACAGCAATATTGACTCTGCCTCTGCGTAAGTGCAGAGGGCTGTTTCATCCCATTTCCCCCACTGACAGGCACTGCAAACGGTTTCTTAGACACCCCGATGACTCACTAACGCTAAAGCAGGGATGGAGAAAGCCTGCGTTCCTCTCTGAATAATATTTGGAGGGCCACATGCCTCTGGTGAGTGAGACCAGAGTCAAAATCGGGAGGAGGCTTGTTTTTACACAGATACAAGAGCCTTCGGTGCAAAGAGGCAAAAATGCCAGATGTTGGCAAGTCCCGCTGAAAGAGCGAAATGCCACTCTGTGCCCCACAGATGTAGATATTCTGCTCTGCACGGATGACACTAAGATTTAGCAGCGCTTCTTGAACAAGCTGCTCTTTCCCCCCCTTTTAATTAAAAAGGCCTCCTGGATCCGAGCCAAGGACTTCTTGATTAATTACTTTCTCTCAAGAGCAGCTGGAATTTGCAGACACAGAAATGGCTTTACTCAGCCCAGAGGAAATCGGAAGACCTGTGATTTCTCCATCAGTAGGACCAAGAAGTCCAGGCTCTGTTTGACCTCCTGTTGCTGCTGCTGCTGCTGCTTTTTTGCATGCACAATGCAAAGGCGTCACTTCCAGTTCAAATGCTTGGGCTGACCCTGAAATTTTGCTGCCCGAGGCAATGGGGAAGATGGTCCCCTCCCCTCATTCTAATAATAATAATAATAATAATAATAATTTATTTATACCCCACCCATCTGTCTGGGTTTCCCCAGGCACTCTGAGCAGCTCCCAACAGAATATTATTATTATTATTATTATTATTAATAATAATAATAATAATAAACCAATAAAACATCAAACATTAAAAACTTCCCTAAACAGAGCTGCCTTCAGATGTCTTCTAGAAGTCAGATAGTTGCTTATTTCCTTGACATCTGATGGGAGGGTGTTCCACAGGGCGGGCGCCACCACCGAGAAGGCCCTCTGCCTGGTTCCCTGTAACCTCACTTCTCACAGCGAGACCACCAGAAGGCCCTCAGAGCTGGATTTCAGTGTCTGGGCTGAACGATGGGGGTGGAGACGTTCCTTCAGGTCTACTGGGCCGAGGCCGTTTAGGGCTTTCAAGGTCAGCACCAACACTTTGAATTGGGCTCGGAAACGTACTGGGAGCCAATGTAGGTCTTTCAGGACCGGTGTTATGTGGTCTCGGCAGCTGTTCCCAGTCACCCGTATAGCTGCCGCATTCTGGATTAGATGTAGTTTCTAGGTCACCTTCAAAGGTAGCCCCATGTAGAGCGCATTGCAGTAGTGCAAGCGGGCGATAACCAGAGCATGCACCACTCTGGCGAGACAGTCCGCAGGCAGGGAGGGTCTCAGCCTGTGTATCAGATGGAGCTGGTAGTCAGCCGCCCTGGAGACAGAAGGCGATCAATCTGACAACTGATCTTGTTCCCAAACTGGTGATGGGGCAGCATCCTTCACCTTGCGAGGGGCAGAAAAATGGCTTTGGGAGCACAGAGGGTGTCACGGACCGGTTTGGACACAGAGGGATGGTGGGAGGCACCAGCTGGGGAGCCCCCAAGGGGGAAAGGCCCAGGGCCTGGGGAGTGGTGGTGGGACTACGCTGAGTGGTCAGAGGGAGAAGATTGAGAGGAGGAGGTGCCGGAAGGAACAGGGTTTAGTGAGCGGGGTAAGTCTGTGGCAGAGAGAAGTCTAGAAGCAGAGACAGAAGCAGAGGCTGAAGAGGAGGAGGACCAAGAGGCAGAGATAAGTCAGGCCGGTGAAGACGCCAGGAAGTCTCCCCCTCCTGCTGCAACAAGCTCCCTTCACCCTTGGTCTCCTGGGACCAGGAGAGGTATGAAGAGGGAGGAGGAGAGGTTGGCTGCAAGCAGGCGCAGTCTCAAAAGGACCTGGGGGAGGAGGAGACTTAGGGAGCTGTGGGAAGTTTGGGACCTTCAGCCTCTGCAGCTGTCTCATAGGGACAAGATCTACCAGGAAAAGGTGATGTGCTCACTAGGCCTAGCACTCCTGAGCAGATCCTGTAGCTGTTAATAAAGAACCAGCTTCACTTTGCGTGATTTATTGCTAGCTCATCCTCACAGAGCGCAAAACCATGGGGTACCCACATCTAGGGATATAAGAAGGCATCATTTTCCATTTCATCCCACAGTAATCTCAAGCAGCACTGTTTCTGTTCTGCTGCAGTCCATCTTCCACCCAAAACAATATTATTCCTCTTGCGCAAGGTTTCCATTGATGGATTCTGCCCAAACATACAGCTTTCCAAACTATATAGTTAATATTGTCCCCCCCCCATTGTGCATTTTCTGCTTTTCTTTCTTGTTAATGTTAATTTGGCCAACAAATTTGGACTGTGCAATCTGCCCAGCACCTTAAAAATCACACAGACTGGAATGACATTGACAGTCCACCTGCAATTTGCAAGGCTCTGGTGCAAGAATAAAAAATTGTGCCCTGTTTTGAAGCACAAAGCATAGCTGTCAACCGTCCCTTATTTGGCGGGAAAGTCCCTTATCCCAGCGCTGTGTCCTGCTGCTGTCCCTTATTGATGATGTCCCTTAAATTTTCCGGGTTTCAAAGGAAGCAGCTCCTCTCCCTCCCTCCCTGCCGGCCAGGGAGGAGGGAGGCTCCAACTGTGTTGCTTGGCTGCGTTGCTCACCCAATAAGGAGTCTAAGAACGACTGGGGGGTGGAGCTTGCATGCCTTGTGCCAATCAAATCGGCCGCATTGCCTGGGGACTCGCCTTTGCTCAGCGCTTCCCAGCGGAGAGGTGACGGTGGTTTTCTTGCTGCATCCCCTTTGCCGGGTTGCTGCACTGTGGGAACCACCGCTTGAGGCTTCGTTTGACTGCTGGCTGGGCTTTCTGCCTTTGGCTTGGAGGGGCTCAGAAGTTGAACAAAGCTGTGCTTGGAAAATCCCTTATTTTGGCTGCTGATCCCTTATTTTCGAGGCTGCTGGTCCCTTATTTTCAAATCTGTAAGTTGACAGCTATGGTACAAAGTGGTAACAAGCAGTCAAGATACAGGCATGAGCTTAGATGGAGAAAAGTAAGAATTGATACCTGAAGAGGTTTGGGGGTTGACTCAGGACAAGAAAGCGAGGGGTTTTGCAAGGAATCTCGTATTAATTTGAAGCAAACCAGCCTACTGTCTTCTGTGAATATCCTGCCTTAAGAATTAGATGTCCTCTAAATATAAAAGAATTGGTTATATGGAGGACTATGAAAGTTATTCATTTTTCTATTCATTTCCATAGAAATAAGCTGCAGTTTTCATCAGCCTTCCATTTCCAGACATGAAAAGTCCTCATTGTATGTCTTTCTGCTTCACAAAGCAGGGGTGGGAGGGGGGCATGAATTGCAAATTCGAGAGACCGTGCAAGCCCCAGCCAGCTAATCCAAAAAGGTTCATAACAGGCCCAAGAGAACAGCATAAATGTTTGCGCCAAAGCCTCGGATAAAACCGCTGGCTGCTGCTGAAGCCCAGTGCAACAGTTTACGTGAATGCAGATTGTTACAACTGGAAAGTTTGAAACCTTGGCCGGATATTTTATTCAGGCTCCCGGTCATGTGAATACTGCAACTGCCAGAGCAGAATCCCCAATTTGCAAAAATAAAAGAGTATACATTTTTGCACTTGCACTCATCACAGCAGTACAAGCTCACGGCGGAAGAAAAATAAATGAACACATTCCCCAAAGAGGAACCTCGATGGCCACACTGCCTGCCTACCACAGAATATTGAGCAAGAAGGAGTCTTGATCCAATCAAGCAATGAGGCCTCCAGCGTCTTCTCCATTTCTCAAGGTTTCAGGGCTTGGGAAACTTTTGCTTCTAATGAAAGGCCATTGACCAACAATGGTGGCCGCAGAAAATGGCAGCTGGAATTTGCAGGTGAATAAGCCCAAGCACTGGGACGCGGGTGGCGCTGTGGGTTAAACCACAGAGCCTAGGACTTGCCGATCAGAAGGTCGGCGGTTCGAATCCCCGCAACGGGGTGAGCTCCCGTTGCTCGGTCCCTGCTCCTGCCAACCTAGCAGTTCGAAGTTCAAGTAGATCAATAGGTACCGTTCCAGCGGGAAGGTAAACGGTGTTTCCGTGTGCTGCTCTGGTTCGCCAGAAGTGGCTTGGTCATGCTGGCCACATGACCCGGAAGCTGTACGCCGGCTCCCTCGGCCAGTAAAGCGAGATGAGCACCACAACCGCAGAGTATGTTTAGGTCACGAGGACATTAGGGGAGCTGGCTGTACTGGATCCGGCCAATGGCCTCCCCAGCCCAGCACCCTGTTCTCACACTGGTCCTCCAGATCCCTGTGCAAAACCCCAAAAGCAGGAGCTGAACAAAGCAGCCGTCTCCCCAACCACAATTCCCAGGCAACTGGTATTCAGAGGCAGACTTTGTCCAACAGTGAAGGGTAGAGAATAGCCATATGCCCAACTCGCAGGCTTAACATATAGAATAAGAGAACAAGAACACCGTATGTTTAAAGAAGATTGGAAACCGTTTACTGAGTACATGGGAAATAATTGTATATGGCTGAAAACGCTGGCAGCATTAAGGTAAATTCAACAGTGTGAACAAGTTTTGATGGATGCAGTGATGGAATACTGAATGGTATGGTTTTTGTAAAATATGCAGGGATTTGTGATATGTAAAATGAACCATGGAAATACAGTGGTACCTCGTGTTACAGATGCTTCAGGTTACAGACTCCGCTAACCCAGAAATAGTACTGTTAAATAGTGGGTAGACATAGCGTACTCAGAGATGCTGGAGTCGCTCATTAATGATCACTCATGTCGAAGCAATGATTCTTCAACATCAACTTCGTTGGACTGGTCATGTTGTGCGGATGCCTGATGATCGTCTTCCAAAGCAACTACAGTGGTACCTCGGGTTACAGATGCTTCAGTTTACAGGCTCCGCTAACCCAGAAATAGTACCTCAGGATGAGAACAGAAATCGCGTGGTGGCAGCGCGGCAGCAGCGGAAGGCCCCACTAGCTAAAGTGGTACCTCAGGTTAAGAACAGTTTCAGGTTAAGAACGGACCTCCGGAACGAATGAAGTTCTTAACCAGAGGTACCACTGTAGAAGAAGGGACATCACTGATATCTTAAGGATGTAAAAAACAGAAAATTTTACAAAAATTATGTACAAAAAAAGAGAGAATATCCATCCATCATGGCTAGAATATGACTCTAGACTGGATCCAAATTGAGCATATAAACATGAAAAAAGATTATTGGTATTAGTATTAGTATTTGCTGGCTGAATTTAGCTCATAGCTAACAAGCCCCACATCTAGCCCTTTCTCTCCACAGTAGGCTTGTATTTCTTTACGCCATAAGAAAGTGTTGGGAGGGAGATTTCAATCATTTATTTGTTCATTCGCTCAGCCCCGGCTGCAAATATTGCCGTTCCGATCTATAGAAAAGCAGAGACTGCCTGGAGGCTCCCCATTCGCTCCTCCTAGTCAAACACGGGTCAACAAAGATGGAAACTTACAGTGTACACAAGAGGGACAGGTTCTCTGTGTGCCCTCTTCCCTCCCACGCTGTAAAACACAGGACCGCACTGAGTCACTGCATTCTTCCACTTGTTCATGGGAAATGTTATCTTTTTTAAGAGCACACCCCGAACTCAGGGTGTTTCCAGATCAATAAGAACAGCACTGAACAAACTCACAGCGCCCTGTTTCCAAACAGAGCAAAGCACACATATACACACAGAAGCTAATAGTCAAAGCCTCTCGGTTGCTAAAAACATGTCGTAATTCGTAGTGATGGGAGAAAGATAAACTTCATCAGATAAGTCTCAGGAAAGGCTGAGGGAAAGCTTAAAAGTTCTCCCCCAACTCCTAAAATAGGGCTTTGGGTTAGTTTGGTTTTTGAGCAGAGTTTGGGAAACAATGGCTAACTTCTACCAACAGACTCGCTAGATGAAGGCTACCAGATTTTGTTCAATGAATCCGGGGACACTATACCAGGTGGACGGGGTATAAATGTTATTATTATTATTATTATTTTCAACTTCAATGGATTTTGTATGGGGACTAATTTGGAAATCCGGGGACTGTCTGGTAACCTAAGGCTAGATGCAAAACAGAGGTTTGTTGCAATGTTTTGAGGCACTCACAATTGCAGTTCCCACACATGCCGGAGCAAATTGGTGTGCCCAGAGAAAAAAACCGAGAAGTTTCAGCCCGGCAGAAACTCCCAAAAAATAAACTTGACACACAGAGGACAGATAAAGTGGAAAGAGCAACGTTTTTCAGCGCGGGTGTCGCTGAGGGTTAAACCACAGAGCCTAGGACTTGCCGATCAGAAGGTCGGCGGTTCGAATCCCCGCAACGGGGTGAGCTCCCGTTGCTCGGTCCCTGCTCCTGCCCACCTAGCAGTTCGAAAGCACGTCAAAGTGCAAGTAGATAAATAGGTACCACTCCGGCGGGAAGGTAAACGGTGTTTCCGTGCGCTGCTCTGGTTCACCAGAAGCAGCTTAGTCATGCTGGCCACATGACCCGGAAGCTGTAAGCCGGCTCCCTCGGCCAGTAAAGCGAGATGAGCGCCGCAACCCCAGAGTCGGTCATGACTGGACCTAATGGTCAGGGGTCCCTTTACCTTGTAACAGAAGAACTCGTGGACATCCAAGGAAGCTAAAGGTTGGAAGATTTCAAAGAAGGCTGATCGCTGAAGAATTGATCCTTTTGAATTATGGTGCTGGAGGAGACTCTTGAGAGTCCCATGGACTGCAAGATCAAACCGATCCATTCTGAAGGAAATCAGCCCTGAGTGCTCACTGGAAGGACAGATCCTGAAGCTGAGGCTCCAAGACTTTGGTCACCTCATGAGAAGAGAAGACTCCCTGGAAAAGACCCTGATGTTGGGAAAGATGGAGGGCACAAGGAGAAGGGGACGACAGAGGACGAGATGGTTGGACAGTGTTCTCAAAGCTACCAGCATGAGTTTGACCAAACTGCGGGAGGCAGTGGAAGACAGGAGTGCCTGGTGTGCTCTGGTCCATGGGGTCACGAAGAGTCAGACATGACTAAATGACTAAACAACAACAACAAAAGCAAGTTCTTTCTGCAGTGTGTATTTAAACTACGGAACTTGCTTCCATGAGAGACAGTGGTGGCTTGATGGCGATGCTCTGCCTCCATGGTCAGTCATGCTTTTGGGTACCAGTTTCTAGAAGCCACAGGGGGACAGAGTGCTTTTGTGCTCAGGTCATGCTTTCAGACTTCCCAGAGGAATCATCAGTCCCTCTGAGGAGAGGATGCTAAACTAGATGGGCCACTGGCCTGATTCACCAGCCTCTTCTTGCATGTCGAGACCCCGAAGCCACCCCCTCGTTGAGAATTAACACACACAAGGACACGGGTATTAGGTTAATGGTTTGGGGCAAATTTGGCCACAACTTTATTGATTACAGAATGTGAGCGGTATTGGCTTAGGCACTGAATGGACCCGACTATACCCGATGCGCAGGAAGTCCGGTAAGGGTAAACCACCGGAAGGGGGAGCCCTGTCGGTGCAGACCAACTCGAGCTCCCCCTGGTGTTCCCGTCGGGGTCGTGTCATGGCCCTAGCCCCCCCCCGACCCGGGCTTCGGACCAGATCAGCACTCCTGGATTCCTTTAACGGAATATCCTTAAGCTTGGAGGGGCAGGTGATAGCCACACCTCCCCTCCCCCATCACAAGGTCAAACAATGCCTAACCGCAACCCTAACAAAGTTGTGATGATTGCTATGAGGTAGGCGAAAACCACATGGCCATGCCAATTTGCCAAGTGGAAAAATTCCTACCAGGCCAACCAAGGTCCATAGCAAGGCCAGTGCCTAAAACCTGCAAATTAGGGAGGGAGGCTGGGTGATTGAGGAAGCGAGCCAAAGAAGAAGCCCTCCGGCTCGCGCCTCTGATTAAATGGTCCCAGCCACGCCCGCCCCCCGGCCAGCGGATTGGCTGGCCGGGCTCTGATTTGGCCAGGATCCCCCGGGCAACAGGGGACTAAGTCCCCCGCCCCCGGAGGGGAGTGGGTGGCCATGCGGTCCACCGCAACTCCTTCCCACTGGGAAGTGGAGCAGATTCACCGTATTTTTCACTCTATAAGACGCACCTAGTTTTTAGAGGAGGAAGAAAAGAAAAAAAATATTCTGAATCAAATGTTGTTGAGGAGACTTTGTGCGGCTATTGCTGAAGGCAGAACAGCAAGAGGGATTGCTGCGCAGCAATCCCTCTTGCTGTTCTGGCTTCAGCGATAGCTGTGCAGCCTGCATTCACTCCATTTGCTCCATAAGACGCACACACATTTCCCCTTACATTTTAGGAGGGGAAAGTGCGTCTTATAGAGTGAAAAATATGGTATGTTCTGAATTAGACCTCATGCTCAAGATCTGAGCCCTGGAGCTAGGAGAGGAGACTGAGACACGATCGCCATCTTCAAATACCTCCAGGGTTGCCATATGGAAAATGGAGCAAGCTCTAGAGTCTATGACTTGAACCGATGGGTTCAAGTTATAAGGAAGGAGATCTTGACTCAACTTTCTGACAGCGAGAGGAACAGGCTCCCTCAGCAAGTGGTGGACTCTCCTTCCTTGGAGGTTTCCAAGCAGAGGTTAGATGGCCATCTGTCCTGGATGCTTGACCAGCATTGCAGGGGGTTGGACTAGATGACCCTCGGGGTCCCTTGCAACTCTAAGATTCTAGGATCAAGACAGAAAACTTTCACAATGTAAAGTGGGAAGGGCTGGCTGGAGCTGGTGGAAATCGTAGTCCAAAACACCTTGAAGACACCAGATTGACAAGGGCTGGCACGGATTTTCCCTCACCCAGCAAGAACGAAACTTGAAAAGGAGCTAGTACAGTTGTACCTTGGTTCTCGAATGCCTTAGTATTCGCATGTTTTGGCTCCCGAATGCTGCAAACCCGGAAGTATGCTTCCCTGTTTGAGAACATTTTCCATAAGCCAAACATCCGACGCGGCTTCCGCTTGACTGGAGGAAGTTCCTACAGCCAATCGGAAGCCGCACCTTGGTTTTCGAACCGTTTCGGGAGACGAATGGACTCCCAGAACGGATTAAGTTCGAGAACCAAGTGTTACGTAAATTACAGGAGGGGGCACATCTTTAAAGTTGTTAAATGTTACAAATATTATGCATAAATGTATCCTTTCGACTTGATAGCTCAGGGAAGTTACCTAGCTTTAACAATCATCCTTTGCCAGTTTCCTCCATGTATACACACCGCCTACCCCAGGAAGTGCCCAGAGGTGACAACTGCTGAGCTGATTGTTGGCCAAGGAAAGCCTAATCCCACCCCCAGACTTGCCAAGGGGTCCAGACATGCAAAGGAAGTTCTATTGGACTTTGGGTGGTGGGACTTCAGAGGTGTTTGCCTATGCTAATCTGATACCTGGGTCTTACCCTGCCATGTCTGCTTATGCTAATCTTGTACCAAGGACTTGTCTGGACATGTTTGCCAAGGTTAAACTGGTGTAACCCCTGTCTACCCCTCCCCTTTTGTGACATGTCAGTGATGTATCAATGATGCTGTACGAACTGTATTCTGGGATATGGTGGGAAACTTTAAAAAGTCCTTGTCACCCCATCCTCGGGGCTCAAAATTCCTCTTTGAACCTGTTGCGCAATAAACTTTGGTCTACAGCTATTGGCTCCGGTTGGTGGCTGGACTCCTTCCTTTATTCTGCAGGGATCCGCGGGTTCTGCCCGATGAGCTGGGTGACTGAGCAGCCTCACACCTAGATTTTTCCATAACACAAGGTACCACTGTACAAAATCAGCAACCCCATGGGCTGGTGCAGGACTCCCCAGCCTATATCAGAGCCCTAAAATAGCATGAAAAAACACACGTTTTCAAGAAGGGAGAGGATTTTGTGCCCCATCCAAACTGGATCATTGCGTTTGGGCCAGTGATGGAGGAAAGCTAGGCTGATTCTCAATATCCTCACCCTCATCTGACTTTTCCCTCTTTTAAACAATGGCTGTCTAGACCGCGGGCTTTAAAATTGGCACCTATTCCACAGGACAGAAGTGCCGTGTTCATATTTTCTGCATAACTGGTCGAAATTGCCCACTGAACCTCTCCATGCCACCCCCAGCCGCTGAATCGCTGTGCTGGGAACAAGCTCGCCTGGGGATTTAAGCCTGTTACATTTCTGTGTTCAGCCATAAAAAAACATAGCAAACCATCATTTACTGGTCCGGTGAAAGTATCACTAGCCAGCTCAGGAGCGAAGCTAAGCCTGCCACACCCAAGAGGTGACGTTTTCAGAGAGTGGCAACGTGAGAAAATTGTTTGGCAAAGGTGTTGGGCGTCCCAGAGGTGTTTGCTCCTCTGAATAGTTCAATAATGTATTGACATTGGACAATTCTTTTTTTTTTTTTTACATGTTCACTTTAAAGGAACTTTCTGCCATAGAGGTCAGTCACTTTGGTTGCAGCAGAACAAACCATAATCTGGGAACACTGGGGTAACTCTTGTAAATACAAGGGTACACTTTCATGAACCTCATGATTATCTAGACTTCCTGATGAGCTATACTCAGTATTAGAAATTCAACTTCATTGGACTGGGTCATGGTCGTTCGGATGTCTGATTATTGTCTTCCAAAGCAACTACTCTATCATCTTCCAAAGCAACCACAGTGGTACCTCGGGTTAAGTACTTAATTCGTTCCAGAGGTCCGTTCTTAACCTGAAACTGTTCTTAACCTGAAGCACCACTTTAGCTAATGGGGCCTCCTGCTGCTGCTGCGCGCAATTTCTTTTCTCATCCTGAAGCAAAGTTCTTAACCCGAGGTACTATTTCTGGGTTAGCGGAGTCTGTAACCTGAAGCGTATGTAACCTGAAGCGTCTGTAACCCGAGGTACCACTGTACTCAAAGAAACTTAAAAATAGAAAGTGTGATCCTGGTGGTCAACAAAAGAGATTTAAAGACTCTCTCAAAGCAAATCTAAAAAAATGTAGTATGAACACTGACAACTGGGAAACACTGGCCTGCGAGTGCTCCAGTTGGAGAACAGCCTTTACCAAAGGTGTCATGGGCTTTGAAGACACTCGAGCTCAGGACAAAAGGGAGAAATGTGCCAAGAGGAAGGCACGCTTGGCAAATCCACACCGGGATCAACTCCCGCCCAGAAACCTGTGTCCCCACTGTGGAAGGACGTGTGGGTCCAGAATTGGCCTCCACAGTCACTTATGGACTCATTGTTAAAACCGTGTATATGGAAGACAGTCTTACTCAGCTACAAGGGATCACCAAAGAAGAAGACAAGCTAAACAGCTCCTTAAGCCAGGGTTACAGTCGCCAAAACAGTATGCCTAGTTGCCATTTTGGGGCTAGATAAGCTCAAAAGTTGCCTTTTTCAATATGAATTTGGTTCCTGAAATTCGTTCTGACTGTGCAGTTAAAAAACAAGGATAGAATGCTACAGGGTGTGTTTTTAGTGCGTGAAAACAGTCCCGATCCAAGGATCTCCAGGCATGCACCTCTAATGGTGGAGACATCAGGCGCCATACTAGTGCCCAGGCGTCTTCACTTGGTCGCAAGTTGCTGATAGGTAAAGGTAAAGGGACCCCTGACCACTAGGTCCAGTCGTGGCCGACTCTGGGGTTGCGGCGCTCATCTCGCTTTACTGGCCGATGGAGCCGGCGTACAGCTTCCGGGTCATGTGGCCAGCATGACTAAGCCTCTTCTGGCGAACCAGAGCAGCGCACAGAAACGCCGTTTACCTTCCTGCCGGAGCGGTACCTATTTATCTACTTGCACTTTGACGTGCTTTCAAACTGCTAGGTTGGCAGGAGCAGGGACCGAGCAACAGGAGCTCACCCCATCGCGGGGATTCGAACCGCCGACCTTCTGATCAGCAAGTCCTAGGCTCTGTGATTTAACCCTCAGCGACACCCACGTCCCAAGTGGCCGATAGCCAGGTGCAAAATGTGCCTTGCAAATTTCAAATGCTGGCTATACCTGTTGGTGCATACTACTTTTCCATAATTTATTTTTTTTTAGATATATAGTGAAGAGTTGTTGTTGCTTAAATGAATGTGATTTTTAAAACATCAGTTAATTATATTAAGTGGCCATCTACAACGCACACACAGGTTCATGTTTGTCCATACTGCGGGGTTATTTTAGAGTACACACGCAGGATCTCTTCAAACTGACTCAAGAAGCCTTCTCTCTAGTTAAGGCTTCCTTCCTGCATAAAAGATTGAACTACTGGGGACGGGTGGGGGAGAATATCTGTCTTGAAGTCAAGCGTTTTCAGAAACAGCACTATGGGTCACATACTGTATTTTATTATTGTGGAAGGAGATGAATATTTATGACTCTGGCAACCGCAAAGCACAGACATTTATTTCCAACCTTGCAAGAGGACAGTAACTGCCAGCCCTCGCTTCTAGAAAGTTCTTGCCACTTGGATTAGGAGCTAAAGCAGGGGTAGGCAACCTAAGGCCCAGGGGCCAGGTGCGGCCCAATCGCCTTCTAAATCCAGCCCGCGGACGGTCCGGAAATCAGCGTGTTTTTCCATGAGTAGAATGTGTCCTTTTATTTAAAATGCATCTCTGGGTTATTTGTGGGGCCTGCCTGGTGTTTTGACATGAGTAGAATGTGTACTTTTATTTAAATTATTTCTCTGGGTAATTTGTGGGGCATAGGAATTTGTTCTTTTCCCCAAGAAAATATAGTCCGGCCCCCCACAAGGTCTGAGGGACGGTGGACCGGCCCACAGCTGAAAAAGGTTGCTGAACCCTGATCTAAAGCTACTCTGCTTTGTGCAAGGGGTCCCAGGAGGTCACTGGTTTGGCACGCATGGGTGCCAGTGTTTCCACCAACCGCACATAGTGCCCATGAAATGTCTCAGGAAGTTATCACCTCAAGAATCACAGGATTGTGGAGTTGGAAGGGATCCCTACGGCCATCTAGTCTGTTGTTGTTGTTTAGTCGTGTCCGACTCTTCGTGACCCCATGGACCAGAGCACGCCAGGCACTCCTGTCTGCCACTGCCTCCCACAGTTTGGTCAAATTCATGTTGGTAGCTTCGAGAACACTGTCCAACCATCTCGTCCTCTGTCATCCCCTTCTCCTTGTGCCCTCCATCTTTCCCAACATCAGGGTCTTTTCCAGGGAGTCTTCTCTTCTCATGAGGTGGCCAAAGTATTGGAGCCTCAGCTTCACGATCTGTCCTTCCAGTGAGCACTCAGGGCAGATTTCCTTCAGAATGGAGAGGTTTGATCTTCTTGCAGTCCATGGGACTCTCAAGAGTCTCCTCCAGCACCATAATTCATAAGCATCCATTCTTCGGCGATCAGCCTTCTTTATGGTCCAGCTCTCACTTCCATACATCACTACTAGGAAAACCATAGCTTTAACTATACGGGCCTTTGTTGACAAGGTGATGTCTCTGCTTTTTAAGATGCTGTCTAGGTTTGTCATTGCTTTTCTCCCAAGATCCAGGCGTCTTTTAATTTCGTGACTGCTGTCACCATCTGCAGTGATCATGGAGCCCAAGAAAGTAAAATCTCTCATGCATCTAGTCTAGCCCCCTGCGATGAAGGCATCCCAACTAGACCATGAATGACAGGTGGCAATGTGACCTCTGCGTTTAAAAACCTCCAAGGATGGGACAGTTTGCGATCAGAGATTCTTAGAAGTAAATATATGAACTATCTGAAAAGTAATTGTGATGAACAGATTACGCTAGTAGGTCTGCAAGAAGTTTTGTAAGGTGCATTATTTGAAATACTGCAAGAAAGACTATGAAGAGAATTATTAGTTAAGGATATTTAAATGTAATATAGAAATTAAGAAATGCAGAATAAGTGATAAAGAACAGAAAATCATCAGAGGTATTGACGGAAGTCTAAAATATTGTATAAGATGGGAAGATATGTTGTATGACTGTTGGAACTGATATGTTAAAAAATCAATAAAAATATATATTTTTTTAAAAAAGGAAGGGACTGTTTGCATTTGCTGCTTGCATTGCCTTGGCTTCTCCTACATTCAACACAATCCCGTTCCATCGGATGCCAGAATCGGACACCCACCGTCTCTTCCAGTCTGAACAGAGGTAAAATAAGAATAATAACAAAAACAATTCAGAAAGCTTGAACGTTAGAGGCAGAATAGTTTTTCTAATAACCACTTCCGGCATAGCAAAACTGCTAAGCGCATAGTAATCCATGAAATTGCCAGCTTTTCTACCTTGGCACAGGCAGGAAATGACTTTAGCAGTGAGGTTGCCCACTTTTGGGGGCCAAGAAGCACATCCGCAAAGGGGCGAAACTGTCGTGGACACCACACACAGAGAGCCCGCGATGCATTGGCTACAAACAAATGCTTCTTTTGCACGCAAATTCAGCAAAGGAGGAGAGGACTCAGAGGCCACCGCCCTAAAAAGTGCTCCCCGCCACCATGTCACCAAGATAACTATACGGCATGCCAATGTTTTGTGAATTAAAATCGGAAGCTGAAAGACTTCTGGGAAGAGATTTATAATGAACTGAAAAAAATGCTGAAATATACATTTATTAAGAAACCAGAGGCCTTTCTTCTTGGAATAATAGGTTTGGAATTGCCCAAGAAAGATGTTCAATTATTTTTGTATGCCACAACGGCAGCCCGAATAATACTTGCCAAAAATTGGAAAACACAAGAACTACCAACAGTGGAAGATTGGCAGATGAAGATGATGGACATTTCGGAGCTAGCTGACCTGACTGGAAGAATCCGCGACCAGAAAGAAGAGGAGTTTCAAGAGGACTGGAGGAAATTCAAGGACTATTTGAATAAATACTGTAATATAAAAAAATAGAAATAACTTGAAAGAAACCAGTAGGCCTAGGATTAAACTAAGTTATAATTAAATAAATGGGATTTAGAATGTTAAGAAAAGTGAATAAGGTGGACTATAATTGGAAACTGTTTTAGTTTAATAATGATATTGGAAAGCTGTTACTTTTAATTACAAGGAAACTCAGAAGGGAGGGATTTGAGGAAGTCAACCAAGATGTTTCAAAGGTTGGATTTGTGAAGAATTAAGTTTGTTGTTATTGTTTCTTGTTCCCTCCCCCCCCCCTTTTCTTTTTCTTTTTCTGTTTTCGTGTATCATTTTGCTTTGTGGTTTGTGTTATCATTGTGGAAAATCTAATAAAAAGTTATTTTTAAAAAAATAAATCAGGAGGTGCACTCAAGGGAAGATGGGAGGAAGCGTGCGCAGAACAGCAACTCATACAGAGATTCAGCTCTGAGAGGCGGAATTCCACAGTCACTCCCAACACAGAGTGAGACATCAGCACAATTGCCTGAACTCATAAGCAACTAAGTGGAAGCAGGATTGCAAGAGATCTCCCAGGAGTCTATAATTAAATTCCCGTCTCACGACACCCTAGCGGCTCTGTCTAAGTGACATATGTGCAGCAGGGTACAGGAATAAGTCTCATCTCTATTCTCAGACCCCCATAACTATACACACAACACACACACACACACACATACCAGAGATGGGAACCTCAGGTTTGGCCGATTGCAATGCTGTCTACTGGCCCCAAGCCAAGAGTTGCATCAATTGCTTTGCCCAGTTTCGCCTCCTGACTTGTGCCCTCCCCTTCGAAAATTCCGTACTAGCAGTGTTAGAAATTAGCCAGGCGCCAGGCGCGTTTTGCTACTGGCACGGGTTCAGTGCCGGATTTACATATAAGCTAAACAAGCTATAGCTTAGGGCCCCACTCTCTTGGGGCCACCCAAAAAATTAAAGGAAAAACAACAACTGGATGTACATTTCAAAAATCTAAGATAAAAAACAAATAAAATAAAACCTACATCCAGCAACAGTGTTTTGTGTTGTGTAGGCTCCTAGGATGTCATGGGCCCCGCCTGCTGGCCTGCTCCCTAAAATATCACTGGTTTGCTCTTTTCTATATATAGGGTGCCTCCATTCTGCATGGACTGGTTGCACAGCAACATGTGCAAATGGCTTGAGATACCTATTAAACTGAGATACCGTAAATTACCATACAGTGGTGCCTCGGGTTACATACGCTTCAGGTTACACACTCCACTAAGCCAGAAATACTGCTTCAGGATAAGAACAGAAATCGTGCTCCGGCGGCGCGGCAGCAGCAGGATGCCCCATTAGCTAAAGTGGTGCTTCAGGTTAAGAACAGTTTCAGGTTAAGTACGGACCTCCGGAACGAATTAAGTACTTAACCCGAGGTACCACTGTATAGCATATATTCAATGCAAAAAAACAGTGACAATTTGTTGTTGACAAAGGACAGCTGGACATATTAAGGGCCCCATTACCTTTAGTATCTTAGGGCCTCATCAAAGCTAAATCTGGCCCTGCACGGGTTCAATTGCGATGATGTAGAGATTTCTGGGCACCAGGTTGGCGACCCCAGTTTATAAACCTCTGCCTTAATCCATATACAGTCATACCTCGGGTTGAAGTAGCTTCGGGTTTAGCATTTTTGGGTTGCACTCCGTGGCAAACCGGAAGTAACCGGAATGACGTCACGCGCATGTGCGGAAGCGGCGAATCGTGACCCGCGCATGCGCAGACACGGGTTGCGTTCACTTCAGGATGAGAACAGGGCTCCGGAACTGATCCTGTTCACATCCAGAGGTACCACTGTAGTTAACAACATTTCCATTTCCACTGTGTGTATCTTTCCTTCTTGCACACTGGGACAAGGGAGCTGTTGTAAGAGCAAGCTGCAGTCAAGCAATGCAGTTGGGACCATGGAATCGTAGGATTGTAGAATCTAGTAAAGGCATCCCCAAACTCAGCCCTCCAGCTGTTTGGGGACTACAATTCCCATCATGCCTGACCCCTGGTCCTGTTAGCTAGGGATGATGGGAGTTGTAGTCCTAAAACAGCTGGAGGGTTGAGTTTGATCTAGTCCAAGCCCTGACAAATAGACATTCCGTTAGGGCGATTGCAGGTGCTTTTTGGTACCTAGCTTATATATCTGAGTTTCTAACACTGTCTACAAGGGGGTGCAGCCTTGGGAACAGGGGATTGGTTCCCCACTCTGCTCTAGGGGTTATACAATGAGGTCTCCCCTCCTCACTTCCTGTCTGATCCCTTTAACCAAAGATGCCACTGGAGACTGGAGTCTCTCTGTTATCGAAACAATTTGGGCTGAATAATATTTTGCCCACCGCAGACTTTCTCCCTTTTTGGTTTCCACACTGGGTTCTTTCCTCCCGAAAAAAAAACCAGACGAGGAAACCTTTTATGAACTGAAAGTTGTTACCCTCTGACTGCTGACCACAAAGGCTCCTTGCAATTACTCTGCGGTGATCAGGGTGGATAAAAATCAATGGTTAAAAATAAATAAATCAGATTTTTATTTATTTAAATCGTATTTTTTAAAAAATTAAATCGGATTTTAAAAATTAAATGCTTTTGGAGGGAAAATCTTTCTAAAGATAGTTTTCTATTTAAGTTACATTATAGTCCAAAGGCTATTCATCAGGAAATAAGGATTTGTTTTAAGTTTTTCATGTGTGCTAAAACTCAGTCTAAGTTTTGTGGGTTTTTTAAATTGTTTAACCACATCAGTTAACAAACATGGATACATATGCTATAATGTTATTGTTTCAGTTAAATAAATTGTTTAAATTGCTATTAAGGAAATGATTGTTTTTCTCCTTCCAGCAGAAAAGTTGTCCAAACATAAACAGTTAACTTCTTAAACCTCACAACAATTTCATAATTAACTGTCCCTATGTATTTCTAACAGTATAACCAAATCAGTAATTTTTGATACAACTGTAAAAGCTACTCTGAAAATTTATGATTCCAAAAATGAAACCTTCATCTGGCTGTAAATATTCAGATTATACCAGCAAGGATGAGTCTTTCTGTAAAAAGAAATCATTTAAATCAAGTCTTACTGATTTAAATCGATTTTATTTAAATCAAATCCACCCTGGCGGCGAGGAATGCACTCTGCCAGTGCTCAGCGGCACTTTCATCTTTTCTAACTTCATGTCCTCCAGCAATAAAATTGCATGTCAGGGCTGACCCACAGACACACCCATCAGCCAACATATTGAATATACCTCAACTGGGGTGGGGCATCAGATCAGAAGCGAAGTGAAACCCATTTAATTTGCAATGGATTTTGCGCATGTTTCCTCCGTGGATGCATCATCAAGCAATGACTTGCATGTGCCAACAGGGCCAGAGACCCCATCTTAAAAGCATCCCGTCTGCATTTAATGGGAAGATTGGAGAATGCCAAGCTAGCAGAATAGAGAGCGTGGCTCAGGCCTGCATACACACCATATATTTAAAGCATATGACACTCCCCGCCCCCGGCCCAAGAATCTTGGGAACTGTAGTTTGCACCCGCACAGCGCTACAGTTCCCAGCACCCTCAAGGCACGACTGTTCCCAGCATTTTCTGGGGGGAAGCCATGAAAGGCAAATGTGTTTCAAAACTGCTTTAAGTGTATACAGAGTGCACACAACCCAGGAATGCAGATTGCCTGCTTGCCTCGGAAAGAAAAAAAAATTCTGGATCATCTCAAGTCATGTGAAAGGACAGGAAGTGGTTTGGTGGTTTTTCAGAGGAAAACCCCCGAGGAAAGCTTTGAGATGGGCAAAAAGAGAACGAAAGCAGAGAGTTGATAATGCTTGGAACAGAGAAACTGCAAAACCCCTGTTAAGTAGGATAAGGTAAAGGTAAAGGAACCCCTGACCATTAGGTCCAGTCGTGGCTGACTCTGGGGTTGCGGCGCTCATCTCGCTTTACTGGCCAAGGGAGCCGGCGTACAGCTTCCGGGTCATGTGGCCAGCAGGACTAAGCCGCTTCTGGCGAACCAGAGCAGCGCACGGAAACGCCGTTTACCTTCCCGCTGGAAGGTATTTATCTACTTGCACTTGATGTGCTTTCGAACTGCTAGGTTGGCAGGAGCAGGGACCGAGCAACTGGAGCTCACCCCGTCGCGGGGATTCGAACCGCCGACCTTCTGATCGGCAAGCCCTAGGCTCTGTGGTTTAACCCACAGCGCCACCCGCGTAGGATGCCATATATGGGGATGCTTAATTTCTTGAGAGTCACACACTTTGCTCAGGAGGAGATTCTTCCACAAGCCAGACATCATCTAGTCTAAAATCACCAGTTAGGGGTGGAGGGGGAGAGAATAACTCTATATATGCCTTTTATTATTTAGGAGAGAACCCTGCTTTTGTTTTTTCAACTCCCAGGGCTCTCTTTTGAGACACAATCCCTCTATCACAAGGACTAGAAACTCGACTTCCAGGACCTGCGCAGAGTACAGTAGGAAACCCTGGGATAGATATAAGATACCGTCTTTTTCGCTCAATAAGACGCACCAGACCATAAGACGCACCTAGTTTTTGGAGGAGGAAAACAAGGGAAAAAAATATTCTGAATCTCAGAAGCCAGAACAACAAGAGGGATCGCTGCACAGCGAAAGCAGCAATCCCTTTTGCTGTTCTGGCTTCTGGGATAGCTGCGCAGCCTGCATTCGCTCCATAAGACGCACACACATTTCCCCTTACTTTTTAGGAGGGAAAAAGTGAGTCTTATAGAGCAAAAAATACGGTATATGTTCAAAAATACAGTAAAGGTTCTCTATCTATGCTGGCATTTGATTGACGTTGGAGAGAAATCGAATTGAGAAACAAGATGAAGGGTGCTATTTGATATACGAATGTAGTAGATAAAATGCAAAGAAATATATAACAATAAGAGTACATTCATCTGTAAAAAAAGGATTCTACAACGTGATTGACAGGAAGTCTGTAGTGTTGGTATATATATGACCTGGGAATAGTTTGGTGTTTTTCTTTATAGATATATAAATTTTGTATATAAACTTTGTATACATGTTGGAAGTTATGCTATAAATAAGATATGCGATGTAATAAGAGAATGTATACAGATGTAAAATAAGATGGTTAATAAACTTTTTTTTAAAAAAAGGAAACACTGGTCTGTGGATTAAACGCATGGGAGGTATTTATTAAATAGGGAGGGCTGTGACTTAATGCTGCAGGCATTGATTCAATCTTTTCTGTTGCCTTGCAGTTATTTTACTATCAAAACACACTCTTTAGAGACACATATGCCCTGTAGCTTCTAACAAAAGTAGGCTCATAATCGCCTAAGACAACAATTCGGTTCACATATCCATATGCTGCTTCCTGCCCCGCCCCAACAAAAAAAACACCCTAATTTTATTTTGCATGCAGATGCAAGAGGGTTGCGCTAGATGACCACTGGTGTCCCTTCCAACTCTACAATTCTAAGACAAGCAAACAAGCTAGACCTTTTCTGACTTCCTTTTTCCTTTCTCCTCCTGTGAAGAGGCTGCACCCTAATGTTGTGTTTTAATCTTGTTTTTAAATTGTATTTTAATCAACTTGTTTTGATTATTGGTTGTTAGCCGCCCTGAGCCCGGTCTTGGCTGGGGAGAGCGGGGTATAAATAAAATTTATTTGTATTTTTATTTTTATTTTTATTTTTATTAGCAGAAACAGCTTCCAGGATAGGGGTTTATCATTTAGGATACGTCTTCATCCGGAAAAGCACCATGTTAGCTACTCTGTATAAAAGGTGATTTTAAAAAATGCTTTTGAACGAAAGGAACGTGATGTTGATTGGGGGACAGAGGACAGTGGCAGGTGAGTTCGCCTCTCAACCTGAACACCTGGAGACAATTGTTACATAACGCGCCTCATCCAGACGATACAGGACTTTTTCTGCCCAGGAGGAAGCAAAATCGACCCCCTGGAAACTCACTGCAATTCAGGGAAGCAAAGAGCGTGTCGAAGACCTCAGAGTTTTGAGGGACCGGGAGGGAAAACGAAGGAGGTTCCCAAAATCGCAGGTGTGTGTGTGGTTTTTGCGCGTGCACAAACTAACAGCAGCGCAAAGAGATCTCAGGATCCCAGTTGCAAGCCTTCTGCTCTTCCTCCTGCAAGGAGAGCTTGCTCGAGAGTAAAGCCCCACTGGACCCAGCAGAACTTCCTTCCAGGTAGATGGATTCCTCTTACCGATTGCTGACCGCCTTCCTCTCAATCAATCAATCAATCAATCACAAAGCAAGCATGCACCGATATCCTAGTCACAAGACTTTCAAGCAAAAAGGGAAGGATGTTTTGTTTTCTGTGGGCAAGGAAGTCTCTCCATCCTCTCCCCTCATCAGCCCAACATCTGCATCCTCCCCGCTTTCCAAAGAACAGAAAACGAAAGGCGGATGCGTCTCCGCAAACCCCGCGCTTTTCCCATTCGTTTTGTCTGCGTGTGCGCGCATGCACACATGCAAGATGCGTGCAGATGCAGGAGATTTTCTGCGGGTCCAGAGGGGGAAGAGAGAGCAGCTTTCTCTCCCTCCCTTGAGTCCCATGGCATTGACACGGGGGAGTGGGGAGCTTCTGCAAAGCTCACACACACCGCAAGCACAAGAGGGAAACCGGATTCACTCCGGATCCACCCTGCCCTGCCCGCTTTGCCTTACCTTCCTCCCAGGAAAGGCAGCTCCTGCAGAATCTGCTCTCTTTTCTCCTGAGCTCCCCTCTCTCCAGGACTTTGCTTGCCCGGGGCGGGGCTTCGGGAGGCAATGGGCGGGGCATGGGGAGGGGGAGGGGCTGCAGTCGGCGCATGCGCCTGGCGGGCGGCAGCGGCGGTGCGTGGGAGTGTTTCCATTCACAGAATTCGTTCATTCACTCCTTTGCTCGGGGGAAAGTAACTCCGTGGGGTTTTGAACTTAGGCACGTGCAAGATCGGGTCGCCCAGGGACACTTAAGGGTACGCTCCTTCTACGAGCTGCTTTTACTCGCGAGTAAGCCCTGCTTAGATCCCGAACATGTCATGTAGCAATATTTCCACCTTCCACAGAATGGATTGCATTGAATTCTTCCGCGGAGTTTATGAATTGCGTGAAGAACTTTCGTTTGCCTTTCCCGATTGAATGCCCTGGCTCCCAACAGTGGAATCGTAGAATTGTAGAGTTGAAAGGGACCTCGAGGGTCATTTAGTCCAACCCCCTGCAGTGCAGGAATAAAGGAATAATAGTTAAAGCCATGGAGTTTTCTTGGCAGGGATACTGGAGTGGCTTGCCGGTTCCTGCTCCAGGTGGATCACATTTGGTCAAAACTCTCTGCTACGACCTGTCCATCTTGGGTGGCCCTGCACGGCATAGCTCATAGCTTCTCTGAGTTATTCAAGCCCCTTCGCCACAACAAGGCAGTGATCCATGAAGCTACCAGCATGAGTTTGACCAAACTGCGGGAGGCAGTGGAAGACAGGGGTGCCTGGCGTGCTCTGGTCCATGGGGTCACGAAGAGTCGGACATGACTAAATGCCTAAACAACAACAACAAGTTAAAACCAGGCATAGGCAAACTTAGCCATCCAAATGTTTTTTGGTACTACAACTCCCATCATCCCAGATCACTGGTCCTGTTAGCTAGGGATGATGGGAGTTGTGGTCCCAAAACTTCTGGAGGGCCGAGTTTGCCCTATGCCTGGTTAAAGCTATAGTTTTCCCAGTAGTGATGTATGGAAGTGAGAGCTGGACCATAAAGAAGGCTGATCGCCGAAGAATGGATGCTTTTGAATTCTGGTGCTGGAGGAGACTCTTGAGAGTCCCATGGACTGCAAGAAGATCAAACCTCTCCATTCTGAAGGAAATCAGCCCTGAGTGCTCACTGGAAGGACATATCCTGAAGCTGAGGCTCCAATCCTTTGACCACCTCAGGAGAAGAGAAGACTCCCTGGAAAAGACCCTGATGTTGGGAAAGATGGAGGGCACAAGGAGAAGGAGACGACAAAGGATGAGATGGCTGGACAGTGTTCTCGAAGCTTCCAGCATGAGTTTGACCAAACTGCAGCAGTGGAAGACAGGAGTGCCTGGTGTGCTCTGGTCCAGGGGGTCACGAAGAGGTGGACACGACTAAACGACTAAACGACAATGTTCAGCAAGAGTCAGAGTCAGGCCACCATCCCTTCACTGTGCATTGCCGCAGAGGTTTCTCCACCCATACTAGTTACTTTAAAAAGAAAAGAAAAAAAAGCAAAACCAGCAACACTGTACCATGGATTTTGTTGTATTCATCTATTAGAAATATGCCCTGTGTAAACACACAAACCCCTTTTGCAATGACGACACCCTTTATTATTGTGCAGCTCAATGTTATCTTTGTACGGCTTGACCACAGAATGCTGTTATGTTGCTGCTACATGCAATAAAAGAAGTTTAAAAATAGATGGAAGAAGATGACGCAACAGTTTCGGCTGAGATACATCCTGCAACTCTTACGGTCCCGTCAGTGATTGTGGAACGGGATAAGACCACAGAAGTCAGATCATGAGCACTGCGTGTTCGATGCATTTTCTATCTTTCTTGTTTTAATTTTTATTAACATATAAAACACATACATCTACATTTACATAATACACATACGTAACACACTACCTTATTTTCATAACATAAAACATACCTACATTACTCTATATAATACCTACCTATACTGTACATATCAACATACCTACACACCTACCCCACACAGACATTTTTTGTGCATTTTCATTTACGTGCCTGGGCCTGAGGTTGCAGTCATAGCGTGCTGGGGTTGCAAAGGGATCCTGGAGGTCCTCTAGCCTGACCCCCATCCTCAATGCCAAATCTTCAATGCAGGATGCAATTACGGCATCCCTGGTGCCGATACAAATTGCCCCCTCCCTGGTCAGCTGACAAGTAATTTGGTGAATGGGGATCAGCTGATCTCTTTAGCTGATCCGCACAGATCAGACATGGTGTGTGTTTGTTCACATGTAAGCGTGCGCATAGGCTGAGGGTGAATGTGGCCCTCTCAAGCTTTTAAAAAAAGGGTTAAGAAACCCTGATTTAGGCATATCATTGAACGGACCCTGAATAAATTGTATTCTTTCACCTGCTTGACACTACATCAGCATAATGCCACGATTTGCTGTTTCTTGAAACCTGAGCAATTGGTATGGGTTTGGAGAACATTAAATGTTTCAGGATTTAAGAGTGTAATTTTGGCCGCGACCCACAAACCACTTAAGCCAGAGTATCTCTGCTTCGCCAACTTTGGCAGTGAGAAACTAGCTGAGGTTGAACTTCAGTCTACGCATATCTCTCCTGCGGTTTGCAAATTGATATTTTCAAACGCTGCGGGAACACCTGATTCAAGACAGCCTGAAAAATAGGTTGCTATAAAGAAGGAGAATGGCAGATTTCAAAAGAACTTGTCAGGATGATTAAGGAACCTAGAAAGCTGCCTTCTGCAGAGTCAGACTGTTGATCCATCAGTACTGTCTGCACAAACTGGCAGCCGCTCTTCAGGATGAGTCCCACTATGAGAACAGGGTCCTGGACTAGATGGCCTATTGGCCTGATCCTGCTGTACTCGTCTCATGTTCTTCTCCCCCAGGCAGTCTCGGGTTAATAGTATGAGTGTGTGTCTTCAGTTTGCAGTACACCAGGAAGTAAGTTTGTATTTTTTCCAGTTGCATTCAACCAGATGAGCATTAGCTTACGATCACTTCCTGAAGCAAACGACCAGGTTTAAATATAGATCTATAGCAGAAGTCAGCAAACTTTTTCAGCAGGGGGCCGGTCCTCTGTCCCTCAGACCTTGTGGGGGGCCGGACTATATTTTGAAAAAAATACTGTATTTTTTGCTCTATAAGACTCACTTTTTCCCTCCTAAAAAGTAAGGGGAAATGTGTGTGCGTCTTATGGAGCAAATGCAGGCTGCGCAGCTATCCCAGAAGCCAGAACAGCAAGAGGGATTGCTGCTTTCACTGCGCAGCGATCCCTCTTGCTGTTCTGGCTTCTGAAATTCCGAATATTTTTTTTCTTGTTTTCCTCCTCCAAAAACTAGGTGCGTCTTGTGGTCTGGTGCGTCTTATAGAGCGAAAAAGATGGTAAATGAATCAATTCCTATGCTCCACAAATAACCCAGAGATGTATTTTAAATAAAAGGACACATTCTACTCATATAAAAACACACTGATTCCCGGACTGTCCGTGGGCCGGATTTAGAAGGCAATTGGGCCAGATCCGGCCCCCGGGCCTTAGTTTGCCTACCCATGATCTATAGCTTTTTGGAGAGCTTCTTCCCCTCTGCTTGTAACTACAGCCCAACACATACACAACAGAACACAACACAACAACAGGTCAAAGAATAATAGAATTGTAGAGTTGGAAGGGACCCTAGGGTCATCTAGTCCAACCCCAGAATCCATGACAGATGGCCATCCAAGCTCTGCTTTAAAACTTCCCAGGAAGGAAAGTCCACCACTTCCCACGGGAGTCCGTTCCACTGTCGAACAGCTCTTACTGTTGCAAAGTTCTTCCTGGTGTTAAGCCGGAATCTCCTTCCTTGTAACTCGAAGCCATGGGTTCGAGTCCCGCCCTCCGGAGCAGGAGAAAACAAGCTCGTTCCCTCTTCCATGTGACAGCCCTTGACATATCTGAAGATAGCTATCCCATCTCCCCCTTTCCAGGCTCAACACACTCAGCTCCCTCAACTGTTATTTATTATAATTATTTATTAAATTTATATACCGCCCTAGACCAGTTGGTCTCAAGGCGATTCATGAGCCCAAACCACAGTATGAAAACACAAAATACATAATCAAAATATAAACAGAACCAGATGAATAACACCCCCCAACACATAAAAACAGTTTAAAACAATTTTAAAAAACACAATTAAAAAGCACTTTAAAAGAATGTGGACAGTACTTTCTGCTGGGCAGCAGCAGCCCTTTTGGAGTCTGTCCGGCCCAACCCTGGTTCCTTGTAAAGCTTTGTTTTCAGATCATCTTGGTTGCCCTCCTCTGCACATGTCCCAGCTTGTCCATATCCTAATTATTTTGTGGCGCCCAGAACTGGACGATACGATAATCTTTATTGTCATTGTCCCATACAGAACAACAAAATTGAAAATCTACATCAGACATTCAGAAACCAACAAGCCTGCTATCCCACCTATCCCAGCCTGGTTAGCCCCCTAAAAACTCTGATGCCCCATAATTAAATACAATATACTCCCATAGAGACTACCTTACACTGCGTTTAAAACCAAAATCGCATTTGGGTAGAAACTGTTTCTCAGGCGGCTAGTCCTAGTCTTTATAACCCTGGACCTTCTTCCAGAAGGCAGAAGCTGAAAGAGATCATTTCCGGGGTGCGTACTATCCTGCACTATCTCTGCAGCTTTCTTATGGAACCGGGAAGCATAGATTTGATCCAAGGTAGGGAGAGTGCAGGGACACGGGTGGCGCTGTGGGTTAAACCACAGAGCCTAGGACTTGCCGATCAGAAGGTTGGCGGTTCAAATCCCCACAACGGGGTGAGCTCCTGTTGCTCGGTCCCTGCTCCTGCCAACTTAGCAGTTCAAAAGCACGTCAAAGTGCAAGTAGATAAATAGGTACTACTCCAGCAGGAAGGTAAACGGCCTTTCTGTGCACTGTTCTGGTTCGCCAGAAGCGGCTTAGTCATGCTGGCCACATGACCCGGAAGCTGTATGCCGGCTCCCTCGGCCAATAAAGCGAGATGAGCGCCGCAACCCCAGAGTCGGCCACGACTGGACCTAAAGGTCAGGGGTCCTTTACCTTTTTACTGAGAGTGCACCCAATTATTCTCTCCACAGTCTTTACAACCCTGGACACCATTGTTTTTTCCCCTGACACAGGACACAGGACCCTGACACAGGACTCCAGGTGGAGTCACCCTCTGGCAAGCTGGCCTCTCTCCTGGTGTTTCTAGATTAAAACTCCCATCAGTGGAGCTGGCTGGGGCTGATGGGTTTTAAAGGTCAGCACTGACACTTTGAAACGTACTGGGAGACAAAGTGGGTTTATGTGTGTAATAAAAAATTTAAGGTCTTATAGATATAATAAATGTTCATAAATGTACCAACCAAGCACTTGCATAGATATGTGGATCACATGTCTGGAGCAGCACAGGAAGACCGACCTGAAACCATTTTGACTCCCAAACTGACCAAATGTTTTCTCTGCAAGGAGGGAGGGGGTGAGGGAACCTTCCCATTGTCTCAGGAATTGGGAAATCACCATCTCAAAGGAATGGCCAGACTACCAGGAAAGGCAATCAGATAAGGCATTATCAGATAACCTGGCAGACAGGAAAAACAACAACATTCGAATTTCTGCTGTAGACCGCCTTTTCTGTGATGTAGGTATGATGTTTGTGGGGTGTGGTCTTGGGTTACGCCCTTCTGTGATGTATGTATGACGTATGGAGGGGTGGTCTTGAGCTCCAGGGCAGGGAATTAAAAATGTCTATATAAGGACGGGCACACCTTTGTTCTGGGTCCTCCTCCTTTCTCCTGTGTGTGAGGGGAGCACCCCGTTGCAACAGCTTTAATAAAGATCAAGCTTACTAGCTGCTTTGCTTCTCAATATTCTCTGGTTGGCCTTTGTTATTTTCTCCTACTGATAGGGAACCCACTTAAGGACTCTATACGGGCTATTGGATACCCCATAAGGGAAGAAGGGCAGATTTTGTTTACAACGTGTGTGTGTATGTGTGCATTTTGATTCAAAACTGGGAGTTGAACTTTTGCTATGCCTGTGTGGTCCATTATCTGTCTGGAGTGCCATGCAGATGTCCTTGGGCTGAGATTGTGGCTTCTAACACAAGACACAACAAGACACACAACACACAGAGGGAAATTAAGGCAGGAGCCGCTGTGTGTTTGTGGGCTCGCAGCAGTCTGTTATGTACTGAGTTGAATAGGATCCAAAAGGCGGCAGTCTGATTGGTCCTAGAACAATAGGATTCAGAATGCAGAGGTCTGATTGGTCTGCAGAAGCCACCCAATCCAGCTCCAGGGGGAAGTGAATCTGCAACCTGATTGGCCTACAGGTGAATCCTGGAATTAGCCAATCACGTGGGGCCCGTTGTGTAAATAATGTATATAAAGCAGACATTTTGGGGGAACTGGCATTCCTCACTACTATGAGCTGAATAAAGAGCATGAAACCCACACTCGACTCCGAATATATTTCACATTCCTTCGCCAAGGGCAAAACACTTTCCCTACCCTCTCCGCTATAATAGTAGGGAATCTGATAATAATACTTTCCTTCTTTGTCTGAGTAAGGTTCACCTAAAAGGGGAGATCCCAGCCAAGGGGGAAAGGGAGGGGAAGCAGGAAGTAAAGGTTAATATTCAACCTGTTTTGGGCCTCAAAGGGAGTTTCGAACTGGTTGGGTATTAAACTTTCTCCTACCCCTTTGTTAAAGGCTGACAATTGACCAGAAAAAAAGAGACAACCTGATCTCTACATTTAAGAACACCTTGATCTGGAGAAGTCAACAAGGGAAGTATTT